ATTGCTATATATCATTCTTGGGATGATGCTCAACATTTATGTGAGTTTCCTATATGTCTTTAAGGGACGGCATTGTAGTGGTACTGTAGCGCACCTTATCTCTCTCCCCTTAAGCCATTTCCACACTCAATCTACCAATCCTTCCATTGTGTAGATCAGCTGGTGATTGCTATATATCATTCTTGGGATGATGCTCAACATTTATGTGAGTTTCCTATATGTCTTTAAGGGACGGCATTGTAGTGGTACTGTAGCGCACCTTATCTCTCTCCCCTTAAGCCATTTCCACACTCAATCTACTAATCCTTTCATTGTGTAGACCAGTTATTCCATGTGAGGCAACTAGTCATCCACCCGTACCGCAGTCCCACGGTGGATACCTTCGTCCGTGGATACTCCACACAAGAGGAAGGACGTACGCATGGATGCCCAATACGTACGATTTCAAATTTAGGGGTAGGAATATACCTTGCTCAAGGGTATATTATACTTTTTAAGTAGCCACTAATCAATGGGAATCGAACCCGTGCCATTTGCTCCGATACCAACTGTAGCGCACCTTATCTCTCTCCCCTTAAGCCAACTGGAAAAGGGGCAATTGCTTGATGAGAGAGCCCTTAGTGGCTATTTTATCCCCATTTATCTCCCAAGGTTCCAAGGATCCATGGTGACAGTATATCCAAATCTCATCCCATGATCACATGCGCTACAGGTACAATGATTTAAGTGTAACTATTTGTGCAGATTAGGGCATTCTTCTGGATTTTTTGAAATGCACATTAGACATACTGATGATTATGATAATGCATTCCAAAAATTGCATTATTTTTATTAAGGGCCATTTGACTTAGTAATGGAATTTGGCATTCATTTTCGGAGCCTCTTAGTTTGTGCAAAGACAAATATGTCAAAGTGGATCAAGTTGGGAATGTTATGGCTAGCACTTTGTAAGATTTTATTTTTTGTTGCACATCCTTCAACTCCACTCCTATGAGAGATGGTTTTATTCTAATGGAGGTTGATGTTGTTGTTACCCAAGTTTAAGGACAAGAGCAAGGATATGGTCATGGTTGTGATATTTGTTATTGGGTATATGATGATGTTGATCACATAATGGCATCATCAATATTTTTTAGATTGGCATCTTCCATTTTTTGGGTGGAGATCTTGATGTCAACAATGTCTTATTGGTGATGTTGTAATGAAAGGTTTAGACACCAAAATGCTTTTGGGAAATGAAAAGTCACACAAGTAGTAAAGGGTCCTTATATGAATAAGTTGGTGACTCTCTATCCTTCTTTCAAGAGTATCATTAAGGGGTTTACAAGCACCAATTCATATAGTGTTTAGTTTCCAAGCTTGTTTTTATAACAAAAGGTTTCCTATTATTCTCTTCATGTTAGTTGATATAGACTCGAGTTTATCTTCTATTATTCGACCTATTACTACATATTCTCGTCTACATTTGTATCATACAGTAAAGCTAATTTTCATTCTTTCTAGCAACAACTATATATATGCATGTGTACGGAATGGGGTAGATTTAATTATGCATGTGGCTGATCTTGAACTTGAGTTTCAGTTATTACAGGTGGTACTGAATCAAACTTTTGACCTCATCCTTGGTATAGATTGGTTGCAACACTTCCATGATTTTAAGGTTTCACCCCTTATCTTATATTTTCTTATTACTTTTATTTCTCTTCGTCCTTTTGCTTTTATTTCTGCTTCCATCACTTTTGTCTCCCCATTACTTCTTCCTATATTTCTGTTTTATTCCTTTATTCACTTTTCTAATAAGCCTATTGTTCTAGTATCTATGGATTTTTTAAACAAAGATTTCGTGTTATTGGCAGTTGCCATACTTGATGTTCAATGTCTACAAGGTGTGAAGTAAGATTTACCTTCTTTTGACGAGGGTCATGAGGCTCAAAAATTTGACTCGTGGATTCAAAAGCTTTGCAATATATTTGAGAATTTTGCATCATTTGCTGATGATTTGCCATTTTGATATTTACATTCTCAATTTCGCCTTAAAGACGATCTTCTTTATTTTGTGGGGATGGATCCTAATGATCATTTATAATTAGTGGTGCCTTTGATATTTATTCCACATTTTCTCCATACCTACTATGATTCGCCTATTTTAGGTAAACATATAGGACATTGTTGTGTGAGCGAGAAGCTATATAGGTCTTTTCATTGGTTAAAGATGCGACGTGATATTTTTCAGTATATGCAGAGTTATGTTTGGTGGTTGGAGTCAATTGTAATTTTCTATCCATTTGAGTTGGTGGCAATTGATCTGATAGGGACTTTTTCATGGTTGACTACTGGCAATGAGTATATTATTATTGCTTTTGAATATTTGACTTAGTAGGTGAAAGTTGGTATACTTGCTAGTGTATCTGCAACTACTATAAGATATTTCTTCTTCAATTGAATGATGTTCCAACATTCATGTCTGGAGCAGATTCTCTCGAATAATGGTCCCATATTTATGCTTGAGGTATTTCACATTTTAACATTAGTTGGGGATATGTTGCACTTTCACAAGTGCTATCATGCACAGACAAATGGTTTGGTGTAATAGCTTGTTTAGACATTCAAAAGGATGATTACAAAGTATATGAACTTTTAACATTTGAATTGGGATGGTTATTTGTTGTCTCTTTAGTATACATATGTTTTATTGGTGCTTCATAGAGTTTTATTGGTGCTTCATCATATAAACTATTATATAATCATGATCAAATACTACTAATAGAGTTGAATTTACTTTCGTGATTGTTATGATGATGCTAGATCCTGGAATTAGTATTTGAGAAGCATTCTTCCACTTATTTGAGCAAAGTTTACTGAATAATTAAGCTACATACAAGTGGGACAATAATAACACTACAACTATTACCATTATCTACTTATGGAATATAAAGTAGATGACTTGGTGTTTGTTTGTTTTCCCAATTTTACAGTACATGGCTTGTTTAAAGGGATTCTTACTCAGTAGAAAGGATTATATCAAGTGTTGTGGCAAGTTAAACAACAAATTTGTAAAGTTTGGCATAACATTCAATAGGCTAATCCTCTAAATATTATGTATGTGTAATGGTTGAAATGCTTTGTACAAAGGGATCATAAGCAATTAATACCATATATAAATCTATCAGTGCCTCCTTTTAATGTTCTTCTAGATCCTATTCTGTCAACCAAAGAACTTTAATTACCTTCTATCCTTTTGAAAGGAGGGGAAGATGTGAAGTTTAATTGTACAATTATAATGCCACATACTAATATAAATGGCTGTACACTAATATTAACATAATAGGATTTTAATAGCTATTGAATTAGCTTCAATCCAGACCTCTTGCTTGTGTATATAAGATAGAGTTTTTGTGTTTATTAATATGCATATTTCTGTATTTTATTTCTATATTCCATATACACACAGATTTCCTTCTTGATTTTAAATTATTTTCAATTTCTATGTTTAATTCTTCTGATTAATATTAAATAGAATGGATTAAGAGGGGTTTATTGTTTAAATTATAACTAACCTAAAAGCCATGTCGAATGAAGAATGTTGAACTCTGTATGATGCTATTACAGCTACACTTTCAGAAAAACTAAAGTGCTTGAGGTAGATTCCATACCAAGCCCATGAACATTTGGCAAGTCTGGCAGGTGTGACACCAGCCCTCAAGAGCATATTGCATCTTCTGGAAGCAGTGTGAACTAGTGATTGTCAAGGACGTGGACACATGGATCCAGCTAACTGTATGAATTGAATAATCCTCTGCCTTTACAATTCCAGTGGTTTGGCATTTTGAGATCATGGCAGAATAGATAGATTCAATCTAACTTCTTGAAGATCTGTGGCTGATGTCTACGGCTTCACAGCTGAACTTCTCCAAACATTCAATGCATTGGTTAGCTCTAATTTCTAATAAGATCCTGGAGTTCGGACTCCTGAGCATCAATCATGTGGTACCAATCCAGAAGGCTGGAGATCCATTATGCCCGACCAACTAGTGCACAATCACCATAATTTTGGCCAAGCTCTTGGCAAAGGTAGTCGAGAAATTACTTGCCACATGGACAGAGTGGCGAGGGTGTATGTAGAGCAGCCAGCCACCAGCTCCCACCTGCATTATTTGTGTATCCACCACTTGATCATGGTGAGGGTCGCGCTCTGTCACACTCCATCTCAATTAATATATGCATGCTAGGTTGACATTGTCAAGACATTTGATCAAGTCTCACATAGCGAACTCTTTCAACGCCTACATGAGCTTGACATCCCTCCAGAGTTGATCATCCAGAGCTCTACTAAAATATCAAAGCGGATGTTTTAGATGAGTTCAGGTGGAGACACGGGTTGCAACAGGAGTGCCCACTCTCAGACAAATACATTACCACAGTCAACATGCATCAGCAGTTCAGAGGATTCTTGGAAGTTACTGCACCGTTTTGAGAAATTCCCACTAAAGAACTAAGATGTCCCACCAAGTGAGAACTGCAATTCTGCCCCACCTGTGTTGAGAAGGTGGAAGATGTAAACCACATTGTCAATGATTGTGCTACATATAAACACCTTGAAAGGCCACCTATCCCTTCAGGTTCCAACCTTCCATGTCATCCTTGGCTATACAAGATAGATGATCCAATTGTGCAAATTCTTGCAGGAGAATGAACTCACACACCAAGACCACAACATAATGCAAGCTGGTGGCATCACTACATCAACCACTACACAAGGGGTCGCCCAAAAGCACAAGAGATCTGGAGGAGAGTGGACATTCGGCACACCTGAGGGGGAATGCCGCAGAACACATTAGCTGCCGAACAGCAGAGATGATCATCAGGGCAGCTTGCTTGAATTCATCCATGCTTCTTGGGAACCTTGTAAACAGTATGAATGAGCCTGTCAAAGCTTATAAGACGTGGTCCAACCAAGGGTGCCCACGTGCTTCTTGCTGTATGGCCAGCAAGTCACAGCTACATACGATCTACGTTCAAGGCCACTTATCCAATGGCGTGAGCTGGAGAAGCTTTGTCCTCTTCGCGCGAATGTAAGAATGTGGGCACTCTTAGCGTAGTTTTCTAGCGCTAGCTCTCCCATGCTTTGATCTCCCATTTCCTCCCGAGAGAAGAGAAGGGAGAGATTCGCAAGATGGGCGCAAGGATCTCCTCCGAGAAGGCCGCTATCGCGGAAGCCAAGGAGCTGACCGAGCTGGAGAAGAAAGAGGGCACCGAGTTCCCAGGCTCGGACTACCGCAGCGACAACCACAAGGAATGGATGTCGACGCTGGAGCTGGGAAGGATCAAGGTGAGAGACGTGCTATGGCCGGGAACTCACGACTCCGCCACGGACAAGATTGGAATCTATGGCGTGTCGCGGCCATTCGCGCAGTGCCAGTCCCTCTCGATCTACAAGCAGCTCTGCCAGGGAGTCCGCGTGTTTGACATCCGGGTGGAGAGCACTGGAAGAGTTTGCCACGGCATTCTCAAGAGCTACAAAGCCGACACTGTCATCGCCAGTCTCAAGAAGTTCCTCTCCGAGACAAAGTCCGAGGTGGTGATCCTGGAAGTGAGGACCGAGTTTGGCTACGATGATCCTCCCGAGTATGACAAGTGGCTGGTCGACCAGATCGGAGCTGACAACCTCGTCACCCACGACGCCAACGTTTTCGACAAGACGCTCGAGGAGATCCTGCCCAAGAGAGTGATTTGCATCTGGAAGCCGAGGAAGACCGCGGCTCCATCGCCCGGGAGCTTGCTCTTCAGCTCGGCCTTCCTCAAGGATAACTGGACCGACACCGATCTTCCACTCGCCAAGTTCAACGCGAACATGAAGCATCTGGGAGAGCATCCGGCGAACAAGGATCGAAAGTACTTCTATCGCGTGGAGAACACTTGCACGCCGCAGGTGACCAGCGCCATCCTTTGCGTCTATCCGGTGACGAACAGGATCCGGCCGAGAGCGCGGCTCTTCATCTCGCAGGCTTACAAGAAGGGACTGGGTGATCATCTCCAGATCTTGTCGCAGGACTTTGTCGACGACGATGATCTCATTGATGCTTGCATTGGAGTGACAAAATCTCGTCAATCCTCGTAAGTTTCTTCTCGGTTTGTATAGATCTAAGATATAAGTTTGTGGATCTATAAGAGCTCAAGGAGCTCCAGTGGATTTACGAGCGAAAAAGTGTACACTGGATTGGATTCTTCTACGAATAAGATCGATGGAAAGTTTGGCGATCTTTGACGTAACTCTAGCTCGTGTTGGATGCCAGGGATTCTTCCGGCATTTCTTCGTCCAGATCCTCCTCCTCCTCCTTTGGAACTTTGATCCGCAGGGACGGGTTGAGTTGATCCTTCCACGAGAATGAAAACTCCACTGGAGCATCGGCCAGTCCCTCGGCTTGGAGCTCCTCCTCGAGCAGCTTGCCGATCTCGTCCGTCATGTCTTGCGGGCTTGGATCGAGCTGGAGTTGCTCCATCGTTTTCACTTCCACCACCTGGTCGTGTAGCGTGAACTCTGGATCGATGGGCTCTGGAGTGTTTGGTTGCAGGGATGCTTTGCCAGTGACAGCGTCTTGGTTGGACGATCTCGTGAGTTCTTCCAGGTCGAGACCCTTGATCTTCATGGTGCCAATGTTAACTGCCAAGGAAAAGAACGGAAGCAAAGGTTTTTAGCTTCCATAGCTTGTGAGAAAGGTGACAGCTTTACCGACAGCTCCTTTGTTGGCGAGCGCTGGAAGAAACCTTTGCAAGTGTCTCTCCGCGTCCTCGTCGGCTTTGAGAGTCTCACACTCGAACGAGATTTGGAGATGGTTGTTTGGATCGCTCGCCTTCGCTGCTTTGATCACATCCTCTTCCCACCTTATCGGAACAATTAAACCACAGCTTAGCTCAAAAGAAAGATGGAGAGAGAGAGATTTTCTCTCACCCATGAACATCATCCACATTGTGGAACCGCGAAGCGTCCTGTCCTCTACACTCGACGATCACGCTCGTCTCCTTCTTAGTCTGGAAAAAAAAGAGAGAAAAAACACCAAGAAAAACCATGAAAACGGAGCTACAAATCGATCGATCCCATACTCTGTAGTCCAGCAGCGTGAGATTGATGAGGCGATAGTCTTCCGCTCGGCTGCATTCTCGCGCGCAAGGGATTTCTAGGAGCGACAAGGAAGAAAAGAAATGGATCATCGTCTTCGCTAAAACCCAAAGGTTTTTCTCTTACCTGTTCCATACAAACCGAGGCATGAAGACGATGGAGGGTGGACGAAGTGACCCGAGATAGAGCCGGATGGAAGCAGCGCAATGGAGGCGATGCCTTGGATCTCTTCCAGCTCCATAGTTACACGAAGAACCCTAAAACCCCGTAACGAAGAAAAGGATAGCTATTATATATATAAGCCTGTTCTATCTAAACACTTCGGGTTTCTTTGGCTTGCTCAAAATGGTCGACTCGATTCTGTCCATGAGCTCCGGAGTTAGCTTCTGGATCACCTCCAGCGCCTTGACATTCTCCACGAGCTGAAAAGAAAAAGATCCAAGCTTTGATCTACGAAGCTTTGAGTGAGACAATGTAGTACCTGGCTTTCTTTCGTAGCTCCAGTGATCACAGTGCTCACGTTTGGATTCGAGGCACACCACGCTATCCCCAGCTGCGCCAGTGAGATCCCCAGCTCTCTGGCGATGGGTTTCAAGTTGTCAACTCGGCCCAAGACGTCTGGAAGCAAAGATCGACTCGCCAAGTTCTGGAAAATCACGATGATCGCACTGGTTAGATTACTCCAAAGCAAACACTTTGTAGCGCAAATGGAGCAACTTTACACTGTAGTTGTCGAGAGCAAACCGGCTGTCCGCTGGGATCACTCCTTTGCTATACTTCCCCGTCAAGACCCCCGATGCTAATGGACTCCAAGTCGCGACTCCCAAGCCATAGTTTTGGTACAACGGAAGAAACTCCACCTCCACCTATTTGGAAAACCAGACTGTTGGAGAACACAAGATGAGAAAACACCACCTCCACGAACCTTTTCTCTCGCGAGAAGATTATACTCGGGCTCCTCCACCATCGGCCCCATCATCCCCAGCCTCCTGGCAATCTCCCAGCACTCGGTGATCTGCTGAGCACTCCATTCGCTCGTCCCCCAGTACAAGGCCCAGCCATTGTCCACAATGTAGTTCATAGCTCTCACTGTCTCCTCGATCGGAGTGGAGGTATCCGGCCTGTGACACAGCATGATATCCACGTAGTCCATCTGGAGCCTCTCCAAGCAGCCTTTGGTCCCCTCGATTATGTGCTTCCGCGAGAGGCCCTTGTCGTTGGGACCGGCTCCTCCCCAGAAAACTTTGGTGGTGATCACCAGGTCTGATCTCCGCCACCCAAGTTCCTTGACAACTTCCCCGATGATTTCTTCGGCCCGGCCATTGGCGTACACCTCGGCGCTGTCGAAGAAGTTGATGCCAAACTCTCGGGCCTTGGCCATGAGCACCTTGGCTTCCTTGGTCTCCATTTGATTCCCAAAGCTCACCCAGGATCCATAGCCAAGAGCGCTCACCTTGAGGCCTGTGCTTCCCAGCTGGTTGTAGAACATTTGCGCCATCGCGGTCGATAGTTTTTGCTCTCGTCAAGCACGGATGGAGGTGCCTTTCTCTCGGCCCGGATCACGATCAATCGCCAGCTCCAACGAATCCATGAAGATGATGCTTGGGACTGTCATGCGGCCATGAAACCTAACGACTAACTGTCAAGGTAAAGAAAACAGTTTCAAGTCAGCCAGAAAGAAAAAAAAGGTGCTCACGGCTGTGAGTTTGAGCTTTCGTGTGCACTATTCTCGGGCCAAGCTGGAGTCTCCAATCGCGACGAGCTGAAAGAACCAATAACAGATGAAAAACAAAACAGAACGAGAGAGCTTACACTGCTGAGCTAAGGTCGAAACATTCGGTGGATGGAGGTGACAAACTGGCGGCAAAACGGGCACCTTGAGAGCGAGGAGCAGCAGCTATGGCACAGGACATGGCCGCAGGGGACGAGGAGGGAATTCACTTCGGAGTTCAGGCATATCCTACATGTCCACGACGACTTGAGCGTCTCGGCCTCTTGCACTGCGGCATCTGCTCGTTCCTGAGTAGCAAAGCCGTTTGTGAGCACGACCAACAAGACGAGGAAAGAAAATGAAAACTTACTTGCTCCGAGAGGAGAGATGCGTTAGAGGAATTGAGCTGCTCCTGGAGAGAGAGCGTGTGTTCGAGCAGCGATTGTCTCTCGAGGGTGAGAGGAAGTCCTAGCGAAGTTAGAATGTCTGTAATCGCCTGTGCGTAGCCTGCAACCCCAAGAATAGCTGCTTCATTTTTCTGCAATGAATCATTCCAAGTTATGAGTTCTACAGGTAGAAACGAAGAAGAAAAAGAATAGAAGAAACTTACCTCATGCCGGGAGGTTGATAAGTTTTCTGGGCCCCTTCCCATCGTTGTTTCCTCACTACTTTCGCCCGCAGCACCAAGAACAACGGCTGCCTGTTCACTTGAAGCGGATGAGCCTCCACCCGTGCTCTTGAAAGATAAAATGTTGGATGACGAGAGAATCTCCACTTGTCCCGGACTGGTCTCGACGTGGATCCGAAACAACGGCTGTCCTGCGGGGGCTCTAATATCCTCCACAACACGACCATACTTGATCTGCGACTGTTGTCCATCTCTGTGCCATCCTACAACCTCTCCACTGTAAAACGGTCTCAGTGGACAAAACTGGAGGGCCCTGGCATCAACTGGAGCTACTGATGATCCAAGCAATGCCTCCACTCCCCCATCTCTTCCCTGACGATCGGCTTCACTGCCCGTGGCAATGATTCTGGCAACCTGGTCTAGTTTGTCACCCACGCCAGTTTTGAAAAACGGTCCGAGAGGAAGGCTAACCGAGCACTCCAGAAGCCGGCTGACAAGAACTGCGAGTAGATCCGGAAGAGCAATAAAAGTTGGCGGTTCCGCTACGAGGAGGGTGGTCTGTGATCGGCTGATGAAGAGAAAAGCTTGATGCTGGCCCGCTCGAGTAATATCTTTCAGACTCGGTACCAGCAAAAACTTTGTGCGAAGTCGTCTGACGAACTTAAGTTTCTCGCACGCTGCTTGGAGAGTATCCAAGATATGCTGCTCGGTGATTTGGTGCGGTCCACGGAGTGACTGGACCGAGCATGCAAAAGCGTTGCTCCCAAGCTGAGCCTTCACGGCCGACAGTGAATACTCACCAAGAGAATCCACATACTCCAGAGGCTCCGAGTCATCAATTTCCTACGACCATCGACAGGAAATCAATTCTATAACAGAAATTGAATAGCAAGCTTACCTCAAGAACAGCCTCTGAGAGCTTCTTCACATGCAGCACGTCACAGAGCGCCACCGGAAGGCTCGGATGCACGAACCTCAGCTTGGTCGTGTCTATATTTTCGACCAAACGGGCTCCAGCAGCGTCAACATAAGCACAAGCGCTGGCATGGACCAGCCTTGCGGTCTCGTCGGGAACAACAACGTCTACAGTGCTTAAGTCGCTTTTCTTTGAGGTCTCCCAGATGAAACGCAAGATCGAAAGCACGGCTTGAAGCTCGTTGGGGTTGAGGTGGTGAAAACCGCTTGTTTGCTGGAGTTGGACAAGGAGAGCTACCATTGCTGGAACCGTTGGGTCGTAATGCATCCCAAGAGCCGAAAGGATGTCCACGTATGAAAGATAAGCTCTTGGAGCCTCGAAAATGTAGGGAGCAAGATCCATGCCCAGTCTTGTGTACAGAGAGCTCGCTGTTACAAGACGGGTACCATTGGCGACTGGTATAAAAGCATGGAGTGACAGTTCCTTTTTATCTGCAAGAGAAAATATAAGACTCTGTAGAGAACCAGTGTGTACACACCTGAATCCGAGAGCCCATCCCAGGCAGTGCTCAAGTAGGAGAGCACCTCGCCAAAAACCTCCTCAACAGATCTTGAGCCTTTGCCATTTGGCCATCTCGCAAGAACGTCCTCGCCACCATTTTGTCCAACAACCTGAATAGAAAAAAATCGAACTATATCAGCTAGAGCAAGAAAAGAACAAAAAATTCGTTGATGAGCCTGCCTGAAGATGTCGAATGACCACTGAGATTAGTGGTGGACTTCTCAAGTGAAGAGCTCCCCAAGCGAACTGTGGAGGCACCGAGTTCGGTCGAAAAAGCACAGGACAGCAAGTCCATCCGAGCGGCCAATCTTTCACCAAGATAGCTTCGTTATAGGACGCAAGTACCCGGTTCGGACTTCCTCCAGCTACGCTTGGAATCCCATTCTCTGCTGGAACGAACGCAATGTTACTAAGTTTATCACAGAAGTTGCTGTTGTAGACCGCGGCAAAGTTGTTCATAATCTCTTCCACCAGCATGCCTGCCATCGACCAAACTGCATCCGAGACGTTCCGACTGGATCCGTTGGTCTCAATTTTCAGTATAGCTAATCGGTCCGAGTGTAAATCCCGTTTCCCAAGTTCTTCGATCTTTTTAGCACACTCCACGATCAATGCTGGATCCTTGAGTGAGCACAGACCGCAGCGACGTAATATATGTAGCCATCGCGAAGTCCCAAACCTGCCACCCGGAAACCTTGAGCGTTCCTCCGCGAAGATTTGTTTGAGTAGAACGTTTTCTGGATCAACGAGCTCTTGTGGAGAACTTAAGTTGGTAGGAACGGTCGATGCCGAGGTGACGAACTTTGTAGATCTCAAGGCGTTGACCACGGCAGAGTCCTTAATGTTATCCCAGTCTCGATAGACGTAAGCCATCACTGCTTCCTGCTCGCTGCTACTTAGCTGGTTGAAGTTTGGCAAGGCATACCGAACAAGTATTCCAGTATTTCCAAGGTTTGGAACTCCCAACAGTTGATAAAACGCGTCTCCTCTCCCGGACAAGCGGTGCTCATCGTCAGGTTGTATGAAAGTCTCGGAAGAAACCGTATAGTAAACTGCTGGATCGATTTTTACGTAGCTGCCTCGGATGGTTTCATAGATTGGAAGCGACTGTAGCAACGAGAGTTCCTGGCTCGACAGTGAATTTTCATCTGGATCGTGATATAAAGCCACTGTTGCCACCAAAGCGTAGAGCTCCTTGCATTCGTCCGGGGATAGAGATGCCTCTCTTGCAAGCCAAAAACCAGCTTGCTCAAGCGCAAGGAACTTAGAGACGACTATATCTACCAGTGGGCTCCCCGGCTCAGAAAGGCAACATTGTAAAGCACGGCAGTCCGTAAAGTCACTGTGGTATACTGGAACGCCGAGCTTGCCTAGAACGGAGACCAGCCAGGGATATCCCTCGTCAACCTCGGCCAAAGCTCTGGCGCATGCCTTCGAGAAATCACCATTCGTTTCCTCGTCGGTTGATAACGTGAGAGGAGGAACAAATGTAAGCTTGCTTTGTCCAACACGCACTAGAGCGTTTCTCGAGTCAATCGTTGCAGGAATAAGCGGCATTGCGGAGAGAAGTGATAAGTCGTCGACAGAAGTAGGATCGACGTTGGTCCATAAATTTCGTATCCATTCTGCTGAAGGTTCTTGTTGGTTCCAGTCCACTGAAGGAGTTGAAGCCGAGGCCCAGCTTCTTGGAAGAACCGTCCATATGTTCGCGGCTATAACTTGTGGCGAGAACTGTCTCAAGTTCATGCGACGCTGGAAAGCCTTGTTGTAGAATAATGCCGCCAGAAGAGGCCGCTCCAAGCACAAAGGGTGTAGAAACCTCTTCATGCACGCAGGAAGGAGAAGTTGCTCCTCTCGACTTGCCACCCAGACTTCCAGCGTCCCTAGCTTAACCATAAACTCATTCGCCGTGGGACATGTTACACCTTTCAGCTCGGCCAAGACCGTGTTACTGAGTTCCAAGTCGTCAGGAACTCCACCCTCTCTTGTCACGTCAAAACTTTGCTGGACTGCATCCATGCAGCAATACTCGAGAAGATCGATCTGAGTGGTAAGAGACTGAACGGCAGCTGCTACCGACGGCACTTTCATTAGAGCTCTCAAAGCTTGCGGTTTGAGCTCCTTCATTGGCACGCCAACAGCTCCTTCCACTTCCTTTCCAAGCTCCCAAGGAACTGTAAATATCCGGTGGTGAGATTTCAGAAAGTCGGAAACCGATGCCTTTGGTGCGACTCCCTGCCCAGACGGAGCAACGAAAACACCATCACTGTATTTTACCATGCCGCTTCCCCCATGCAGCTGCCATAGAGGCATATCCACCAGCCTTGCGTACATAGGCTTGATCAGCCATTTTGCCAAGCACCGAGAATCATTGGAACTAGTAGCAGCTGCAGATCGTGGCCAAAGTGAATAGAAACTCCAACTGCTGCTTCCTTCGGAGCTACTCGCCTGTCCAATAAGTTGCAGGTGTTGAAGTTCTTGCAGCAACTCGATGTAGGAGTGAGAAACGCAGGAAAGTAACTGTCGGTTCCATGTAGCTCGGAGGATATCGTCTGAGAATCCGGGCCCAGAGTGTGTTCCTAGCATTCCAACTTTGACGGGATACTCCCCAAGCGATTCGTCAAAGCAGTACCGACCGCCAGCCGTGAACGGTAAAAAGTTGCCAAAAATTGTAACTGGTATGTTGAAGTTGAGAGTCACTGGAAGAGGACACAGTATAGAGTTGTGGGAGCATACTGCTTCTTCTATCATTCGGCCGTCGACGGAAATACATGCTGCAACACCAGCGATAGGAGTAAGCTGATAATGTAAGTATCTCCTGCAAGACAACGACTTAAGATGAGTATACACAAGGAATAGAATGTACGTAGCTACCTGTCCAAGGCCATGTCTCGAGTTTGTCCAGAAGATAAACTTTGGACAACTAGCCATTTTGTCATTCTTGTGTTGCCATCTTCCTTCAGAAAAACATCAATCGTATGAGTTTTTGTCACGGTGTTCGAGCTGCCAAAGAAATTTGAGAGTTGAAACTTCCGCCAATTCTTTTCCTGAAAAGGATGACGAAGTGCTGCAAATGCAGAGCCTACGGACACTGAGAAAACTTCATGAAAAGGCTCAATAATGGTTTGTTCCGATATCACCACCTAAAGAAACATCAGCACACTAAAAAGAAAGTTTCAAGAACTTTACCTTTTCCACAGATTTCAAAAACAGTATGCTGGTTGAAGCGTATTTCTTGAGACTATGAAACATATTTGGAACCTTCTCAGCTATGTTGGCCTTTCCAGGATGCAAAGGCAAGCGAAAGAATGTAACACTAGTAGAATCCAACGAGAGTTCCTCATTTAAGTTGAAAGGATGAAATTGGTCGCTGAACCTTTCGGAGAGACCAGTACCTAGAAGACGACCAAAGATATTACGAGAGAAATTTAAAGGACAAAGTTTGCTTACCTTGCAAAGAAAATGCCTTTCCAATGGGATTTCCTGTCGGATCTTTCCTCCCATCTGCGAGAGCTGGCGCCAGTACTTGACCAGATGGATCGAAAAGATATAGACAGCCCATGGATATCACCATCAGCAGATCAGTTATTTGGTAAGAACCAAACAAGCCAGTTCCATATCTGCATGCTCGTCCATGGAACTTAACAGGTGGACTCGTATGAAGTGAGCATATTTCCTCCGTTGTCAAGTTAACGCCTTCAAAAGCAACAAGCAATGCCGGTCCTTGAAAATCGCCTACAACAGAGAAAGCAATCGAAGTTAAATTCAAACATTCTTGTCACAAAGTCTTACTCATGTTTGGTTGTAGAAGCGACTGTTTAGGATGGTCTGTCTGGTCATATACGAAGTGCACCTTTCGAGCTTGACAACAATCTGCCACTTCAAGAAGATCGAAAAGCAGCATCTCTTCATCGCCACCAGCGCCAAACTTCGCAAGCAGCTCGTTTATCTTGCCAATCCCAAGGCATGGCAAGCTGCTCGTCATCTCTTGATCCACCACTGACAAGTAACGGAGCGACCTTGCTCCAAGTTGCCTCGCCAGATTGTTGTCAACGTCTGGATGCACCAGCCTAAGGCCACCGGCTTGTGAGCCATCTTCACTGAGCCACGGCGCATCGTTGTACACTAGAGCCTTCGCAGGAACGAGCTGTGAAACAGCATCCGGGATCAGTATCGACTCGTAGATGGAGCGGTCAGCTGTTTCAAGAACTTCCGACAGAGTCCCCAGAACACTTAAAACGAACGTAAGCTGCTCCGGGCTGAGAGCGTCACCTTTGACGTCGGCAGCTACACGTTCAAGGATACTGACGTAGTCACCGGCAGAAAATGTTTCGCGTACGCCCAGCTTTGTAAAGAGCTCCTTAAACTCGAGAAAGTCGACCGGCAGGACGTGAAGGTAAGGATAGAAGTGTGCCGGTGAATCAAACGCTGCCTCTTTGGCACGGATGAAACCGTCACCAATCCACAACCAGGCGTGTCCTTCCACCATCGACTGAATGATCAGCATTTCGTCGGACTTCGAAAATCCCTGGAGAAGTTTGTAAATGTCTTTCACACTGCTTGATAATGTCAAGGTCGTTTCTTCGTCCAAAACATCCCTGCTATAGCGTTTGGAGAGTTCTATAAGCTGATGAGCTAGCACGTTGGCCTTGAGTGTCTGAGTCCACCCAAGCTTCTCCTGAAGAAACGAGCTACAATCACCGTCAAGAATCCGCATTGCTCCCGAAACAAGCCAAATATCTGACGCTGGCCGCACAAGCTTTGGAGATGCGACGAGCGGCAATTGTCCAGGTAGCCAAGGAAGAAGTTGATTCGGAGACGTTCCACGGACAGGACACCAGCTGATGCTTGAAAGTTCCACCCAGAAGTGAGAGTCTATGTCAGATAAGCTCCTCCCAACCACTGGCACGGACTCGTCACTGACTGCAAGGCCATCCATATGAGCAAGTAACGCCTTTCCCCTCCGACTTGCTTCGGAATCGTCCGTGGCACTGATCATTCCGACCGATCGAGCACTGTCCAAGAGACCTTCCTGTTTGAGTGACTTTCTGAGGCCCAGGACAACCAGTACGTCTAGTAGATCAGCCGCTTGAAACTCATGGGCCGGAAAAAATGCTTTTCTGTCAAGGAGCGTCAGCAGCTCCGAAATCCTGGGATCGTAAAGCCTGCACAGCCATGCGTGTTAAGAGAAATCAAAGAAGGAAAAAAAAATGGCAAACCTCTCAGGTGCCTCGATAGCATTCGATCCTGTTGGCACGAAAGCAAGTTGAGATAACGATGCAAGAGCAGCCTCCTCCATTTCTCCGATGAACAGAGCCAACTCCTTCGAGACTTTTAGAAAGGCTTTCATCCTGTCACCTTCCGAGACTTGCTTGATACAGTCGACGAAGTAGCTTGCAAAGTAGTCTTTCTTGTCCACCTTCTTCAAGCCGAGGTACGTTTGCAAAATGTGCTCCTCTTTCCCAGTCTCAGCTTGAATAAACATATCTGCAAGCAGCTGTCCATCGATCCCGTCGGGCGCAATCAGCTGCTCGGACTCGGCTATACAAATGAAGTCCCCTCCGCTTTCAAACAGGCGCAACATCTTGAGCACTTGGAGCTGCACAGCGTCCATCTGTCCCAGAGCAAACCATTTCTCTTGAAACAGAAAATGCCTGAGCTCCCTCACTTCAAATGCCGAGCAGTCCCTGAGCAAAGTTGGCACCATCTTTAAGTTTCCTCCGGCTGCCGCGAAAAAGGCAAGGAGGATGCCGTGTGCACTTGCAGCCTGTACGTGGTCTCGCAGCTGCACTGGAAGGTCACCTTTCAGTAGGAAACAGCCACTTTTCTGGAGCAGACTGGTCATGTTTTCGCTCCATCCATCATTGACGATGATCGAGCCACCCTTGTACATCCTCACAAGCTTATCATCTGTTGTCGGCAAGAGAGGCCAGCTCTCAAAGTTCGATAAGCTCTCACGATGACGAGCGATGTAGTGCCAGAAGAGAAGCATCCAATCGGTACTTGGATGACCACGAGTACCGGGAGTCCACGTAACGATATCCTGTCCACTCCACTCCAGTGGTAGCACCAGAGGAAGAAGCTCTTGGAGAATGAGAGGAGTCATCACGTAAACATTTGATACGGCATTCGCAGCCATGTCTGTCATCTTGAGGGATATGTCCTCTCCAACTTCAGGATCCACGAGCATGTGTGGGAGAGCATCTTTAAGTAGCCTGTGATCGTCTCCACCTGCTAATATAATCTTCTCCCCAGTAGATCTTGAGTTGAGCGTTCCAAACGAACCATCTGATAGAGGAACCAAGGCCAAGCCATATAGCTTGCTTTCATCCGCTGAGCTCTGGACATCAGAGAGGGAGTACTTCAGAGCCAGAATGCTGATCCGCCTCTCTAAAGTTCGCCTGCTGGCGATCAGCAGCCTTTGTAGAAGACGAGGCGAGAAAAACTTCAAGGACGGGCACACTTCTCGGAACCTCGTAGTCACGGCTTCAGGGACTGATATCAATGGAAGGCCAATTTCCACAAGAGCATTGCCAAGCTCGGTCATCTCCGGGAATGAAAAGTCTGGGAACACGGCCTGTTTCGCAGAGATCCATTTGCCACCTCTTAACGTTGTGAACAGAACAGGCACCTCCAAGTCGATCACAGCTTTATAAACCTGCGTAACTAGCTGCTTCCATGGCTCTCCAACGCTCTGAGTTGGCCACAGTGAACTATAACTCGCAGAAGGTCCCAGCTCGCGAGAAGCACGATGAAGAAGCCGAGCATACGCAGGAGCTGCTGCATCCTGAAGAAGAAAACTGTTCCACTGCGACCTGAGCTTTCCTCCTCCAACCATGTCACCACCATACCATATATCTCTCCGATTTGCAGATAGTTCGAAGTAGCCATTTACGTGTATTGGAAGCCCGACGACAACCGGGAGAGGCAGGAAACAAAATGCTCGGCCCTCCACGGACACTGGACCTCTTTCATCTTCTTTGACTTCAATGCTGCCATCTTCGGACATCCTGGCAGCAATCCCAGCCCATGGAACGAATCCTCTGCTTCGGTTAGCTGGCGATATGACAAACTCCTTTGCGTTCCCTCCACCAAAGGAGCTACATATAAGCCAGGACGAGGAAGAGTTGCCATCCGGAGCTGCTACCTCTATCCTGATCTTCCCGCAACACCAAGGCAGCTGCTTGTCTGCAGTTTTTTCCAGTCGCTTCACAAACTGTTCCTTGTCGTATTTCTGCCGGGTGTTACCAGTGACAAACTCGTAGAGGCTGGTTTCCTGGTAATCAGCATTTTCCCTGTGAACCTTGAATATCTCCTGAACCTCGGCATGTAAACCGTCACGTACGTACAGCTTTATCGACGTTACATGCCGGAGGAACAGCAAAACTTCGCCAGCAGACTTCTTGAGAGCCGAGAAAAGTGTGACGACGTCCTCAGGTTGATACGGATCCTGCTTTATTTCGCTCCGAGCAGCAGTCACTGTTGTCCTCAGCGGAAAACGGAATAGAGTGCCTAGAAAAGGCTTCTGGAGGTCGCATCCAAAGAGGAGGAAAGACTCAAACTGATCAGGGAACTGATTGAGCAGTTCCTTGCCAACGAAGTTAATCTTCAAACCTGGTTGAGCAGGAGAGATGCCTGGAAGGTTATCAGCGTGTGGATCAAGCAGCACAATCGTTGAACCTGATACAAAGCTTGGCACGTCGGTGAAATGGTAGACAGAGTTAAAGCCAAGGCCAAATCTCCCAATGGCGGACGGCTTGTCGAGCTTGCTGTTCTGGCCGATGCGTGATATTGCATAGAAGTCCTCCGGCTTGAAAACGGAATCGTTGTAACAGTAGAGAGCTGGCCCCTGCCAGTCAGCCATTTGCCGGGAGAGGACGGAGTTTGTGCCGAAGGAAGACTTGTCGAGGAGAAAGCTCACTTCCGTGGCACCGGCATCATCTGCGTTTTGCAACAGCTCGAACAGCGTCCCAGGTCCGTCCGCATACATCTCTACGATGTGTTTTAGCCGGCTTGTCAGCGACTCACTCTGTCCAAAGGCTTCCATACCACCATGCAGTCCCAGGTCCACGAAGTCGGCACTTTTGGCAAGCAGCGACTCTCGAACGGAAGCGATACCAACTTTCTCGGCGACGTCGTTGGAAATCTTCGAATGCACTAGCTTCTTGTTTGGAATGTCCTTGGAGGCCACGAGCCAGGGGGCATCGTTGTAGACAAGCTGAGACGACGGCAAGAGGATGCCATCGCAGTCTGGAATAACAATTTCCTTCCCCTGCTCGCCAAAGTTCGTGTCTGCTAGATGTTGTACGATCCAGATAGCCGCAGCTAGTTGCCGAGAGTCCAAGGGATCTCCACACTTCTCACTTGCAATAACAGCAAGGATCGTACTGTAGCCTGCCGGGTCTAGCGATTCCTTCACCCCAAGTTCCAGAAAAAGCTCCTTGAAAGCAGCGAGATCAGCTGGAACGACGTGAAGATAAGGAGTCAAGTGCAAAGCTCCATCGAAAACAACTTCCCTGGCCATTGCGAACCTGCTTCCAACCCATATCCAGGAACGGTCTTCGAGAATGGCCTTCACGATTTCCATCTCGTCACTTCCCAGCATATCGCTCAGCATAGAGTAGATCTTCGGAACAGTTGTAGCTAGAATTTTCCTCAGCTTGAAGTTGTCACCTTTTCCAAGCTCCAGTAGCTGAGCAGCCAGTATATTGCCACTTAGCTTGGAACTCCATCCAAGACGTTGACATAATCCTGGAGAGTCGCACTGTCCGTCTAGTATTCGCATGGTCGCCGAGACAAGCCAAATATCGGAAGGCAGCCTCACTAGCCTTGGTGGTGCTAAAGACTGTGAGACCACTGGCCAAGGCATCTGATCGTGAGGTGGCTCCAGTAGCACCGGGCACCAGCATATGTTGGCCAGTTCACTCCAAAACTTCGACAGCGTAGAGTCCTTTTCGCCTTGGAGAATTGAAAGTATCCAGTTGGTTCCTGCTTCTTGCAGCCACTTGCTTGCGTTCTTGTCGAGGTACGACAGTAGAACACGCCCTCGTAAAGTTGCCTGGTCAGGAACACTTGCCGAGAGCCCCTCGATAGCTCGGGCACTGGCCAGTATAGTGTCTGGAGTGACGCTACTTCTCAGTCCCAGATGGCGCAAACTCTGAAGGACGTCGGGACTAGAGTAGTCGGGGGATGGAAAAAACTGCTGGCTGTCCAAAATGCTCACAAGCTCCGGAATCTCTGGGTCGTAAAGAGCATCTGGCGCTCGAAACTTGCCGGCTCCGGTAGGCACGAACGAGAGCTTCTTGAGAATACCGACGAGAGAACGATCTTCGACACTTAGCTCCGGAAGTTCACGAAGAATTTGAAGCATTGACAGGTCCCGCAGCTCTGTAGGAAGATTACTTATGTCGCTCAGTATCCTCCATTTGAAAAAATCTGCCTTCTTGAGTTGCATGACATCTAGCAGCTGCGTCAAAACTTCGTGCTCCCGTGAGCCACTTGAATGCAAACAGTCCGGTCCCAAGAGTGTCTCGTCCACTCCACTAGGTGGCAAGAATTTCTTACCACCTTCTAAGGAAACGAAAACCAGATCCCTTGTTCCCAAATCACGGTAGGCCTCGAATATCGGTAGCGTCTTGAATATCTGTAGACGAGACTCGTTCATCTCATTCCTGCTACCCCAGCACACGTCGTATAGAAAAGCCCTGAGTTCTCTCCTTTCCAAACCAGAGAGAGCAGTAAAACTCTCTGCAAGTTTTGAGAGATTGTTAGCGGCGCTGAATCCAATGGCATCCAAAACTTCCGCGACAGTGGGATCAAGAACATATCTCGACAGCTGAGGATGGTCGAGCGTCACCTGTGTGTCCAAGAACAAGCAGCCAGCTTTGATGAAAACACCTTCCAAACTGCTGCTTATCTTGCCGCCTTTGAGAATCCCCGAGAAACGGACAGGTCTTCGTAACGTCCCTGTGGTCGTTGGTAGTATTGGCCACTGCTGCAACTTCGATAAATCTCGTTGTTGAGCAGCGAGATGCTCCCAGAAAAAACCAAGCCACTCTTTCGAAGGCTGCTTCCTAAGCCCAGGCTGCCAACGTATCTCACCACCATTTTTCCATTCAGGAGGTAGTACGTACTGCAGAATCTCGGCCAAAGTTGTATCGTCAATCAAACAAATATTGCTCCGACCTGTTCTTGCAATGTTGTTGAGCCTCGCAACCAGCCCGGGAGGAAGATTTTCGTCGACAAGCTTGTCGGGTATACCTTTGAACAGCCTGATCTCCAAGGCGGTGCATAAAAAATATGAGCACTCCTCGCCTTTTAAGGCAAACCGTCCTGTTCCCAGACTTTGTAAAGGAACGAGAGGGAGTCTTCTCAGATGTTCTGCTGCTTCTTCGTCTACGAGATCCGATAAGCAGTAGTCGAGAATTGCAAAGAGATGAGACCTCTCTGCTGGACCCTTCTGTCGCTTGCTCTTCAAGAAGTGAGTCCTCACGGAAAATGGTGTGACGACTTTAAACTCGGCATCGCAAAACTTGAAGACTGCGTCTCTTAGCGGCTTCGGCAAACGGACAAGAGGCAAACCATCCGCTACAAGTGCGTCAGCCAGTACCTCGGCCTTCTCATACTCTTCGTCGTGGAACAGAACTTCCATTGGTGACAACCATTTCCCTTCTGCAACTCTGGAATGAAGAAGTGGCTCTGCGGCAATGCTCCGATAAAAGTGCTGCACGAGTTTGATCCACGGAGCCCCCGAATTTCCCAGTGGCCACATAGAACTGTACGTGGCTCCCGGGCCAAGCTTCCGAGCTTCCAGAAGAAGCTGTCGCAGACACAGTGCCGCAACATCCTCCAAAACACACTGGTTCCAATCTGAGCGAAGCTTTCCCATCCTGTCCATGTCGGAACCGTGCCATATATCTCGTCGATTTGCCGAGAGCTCGAAGTATCCGTTGACGTGAAACGGCATCCCGGTTTTTATAGGAAGCGGAAGGAAGCAAAACGCGCGACCTTCGACCTCCATTCCTACAAAGGTGGTTAGATCATTTCTCTCAAAACAAGTAGACAATATATACTGACCTTACCGGGTAAAATAGATGCAGCTACTGATGCCCAAGGAAGAAGACGCAGGCCATAACTCTTGAAAGCATTTGTAGCCAGAGCACCAATTCTGCTAGCGGAAGACCCCATAGCTTGCGAGATAAGAAACGAGCTCAAACTTTCCTTGCCGCTGTCAGCCCCTGTGTAAGCCTTGGTAACCAGCTCCAATCTGAAAACATCCTTCGTTTCTTCGCTAGCAGCAGCGTCTTTTCCCTTGGAAAGCCTCAGAAACAGCTGCCTGTGCGATCTTATCTCGGAAGTTGGCAGCCTCACGGCACACGAGTAAAGCAGAGTCGGGGAGCTAGAACCGGCGCTCCACTCGTAAAACTCTACGCGCTCGACGTTCTTGAGGAAGAGCATCACCTGTACAATCTCGTGATATAAATCGCGGAGAAGCTCCAGCATGTCAGTGGAAGTATACGACTGCTTGGAAAGCTTGCTGGTGGCGGCTTGCTCGGCAGATCTCAATGGAAATCTAAAGAGAGTACCTCCGAAAGGACGTCGCATGTCACAGCCGAAAGCACAGTATGGCGAGAACTGGTCGGGAAAGTTCTCGAGAGCCGTGGAAGTGACAAAGTCAATGCGTTTGCCAGGATTTAGCGACGATATACTCGGCAAGAACTGGCACTGCGGATCGAAGAAGACGACGTGACTGCCACTCACAAACGATGGCAGATCCGAGAGATGGTACACGGAGTTAAATCCAATCCTAGAAACCACAAGCTCGCTTAGAAAGAAGCGCATCTTGGAAGAAGAAAATTTCTTACCCAAATCGACCAGTCTTCCACGCCTGGCCGCGCTTCTTGCTGTCGCCAATCCTGGAAATGCTCTGGAAATCCTCCTCCGTGAAGGCGGCATTGTTGTAGGCGAGGAGGGCGGGGCCTTGCCACTGCGCCAGCGGCGGCGAGACGAGGGAATCGACGGCGTGGCGGCGGCGATCCACACAGAAACACACCTGGCTCGCTCCCGCGTCGTCCGCGTTCTGGATCATCTCCTTGAGGATGGTCGTCCCCTCGGGATAGTTGAGCAGCACCTCGCGGATCCGCTGCGTGAGATCCACCTTCTGCCCGAAATCCTCCATGAATCCCCCGCGCGCGTCCATCATTTTCTAGGGCTTTTGCAGCTGCGAGTGAGGTTTATAAAAAACTATCCGTACACGGCATCTCTTGTACGGACTGGAAAATTTGAGTGTTATTTTGACAGCCCAAAGAATCCAACGCTGGTAAATAATCTCTCGTACGGAATGGCATCAGTGTCCGTACATAGGGGACAGCATTTTGTACATAATGTGTCAAAGATTATGACTATAACTTGGAAGGTGAAATTTCACTAGAGCATACATTGGTATCTCTTGGATGGAATGAAAGTGAACAAATTTTTTGTGAACTTTCAAGTTGTTCTGGATAGCTACTGTACTAAGTGCAAGGTTACGGAATCTAGTTCTTAGTTTCTGGCACGGCAGCTCTTCCGGATCTCGCCCGCGCTGCCGGTGAGAGGACTAATGTTGCCCATATTCACCATAGCTGACGCAAAGTCCGCAAAGAAGCGTCGGTTGTTGCCCGCGTATGCGTTCACCAGGGCCTGCGTGCTGCCAGCGGACAGCACCTGGTCCGAGTTGAGGAGCCCCCTGTTGAACTGCAGGTTGACAAAGTAAGCGTTGTCGAAAACGTTGGCACTCCTCACGTCGAGGGGCGAGAGGCTGTTGTCCGAGGCGGAGGATTGCGTGCACTGCTGCTGCAGGCGCGAGAGGAAGAGCGCGTTGAGGTTTGGATCCGGGCGGCCCGAGCTGCTAAAGTTGTAGAGGCGGTCCCGAAAGGTGACGCAGCGTGCCTGGCCGATTGTGTGGCCGCCGGATGTTGCTACCAGGTCCTGGGCGGACAGTCCCTTGGCTTGGAACTTGGAGAGGAGCTGCGAGGCGCTGGATGTTGGCGCTGGGATATCGTTGTTTGCGGAAGAGAGGCTTGCGGTGGTGCTGTCTCTGCGTCCCAAAACCACGGGCCAAGATGGGCCTTGCAACTACATAGCACGGATCACAACCATTAGCATTGAGATCTATAGTCAAGGAAACAGGAAGATCAAGGAATATCAAGTCGAGAGCTTCAAGGAACAAGAGAAAGAAGCGAGAAAGCTAGAACACTAGCTAGAGCTTAAGCGTAAGGAAGAATACCACACTAGAACACCCCATGAAAACATTGAAGCAAGGAGGCCACTCGATCTCTTACCGCTGTGACGCCTTCTCTAGCTGCGAGCGTGACAATATCAGCGCACGAGACGACGTTGGGACACTGCCTCTCCACTGCGGTCTTGATGTTGTCAATGACATTGAATCCGCGCACAGAGTTTTGATTGGGAAGCGCGGATTTCTCCCCGGTGAATCCCGAGGCGTCGTCGAGCAGCAGAGATGCGTCGCAGCCCTGGACGAAACAATCATGAAAGTGTAGCCGAAGGAGCGAGGCCGCCATACGAGGCTCGCTCGCCACTGCTCGCCTCACGACTCCGCTCACGATCTGGACCAGGTTTGGGCAAGTCGAGGCATAGAATGTGGTGCTTAGCTGACCAAAAGCCATTCCACACATCGATACTAGAAAGAGGAAGATGATCAAGCTTTGGAATGGAGATGAAGAGCAACTCTTGGCCATGGTGGTGATCGATGGAGACTTTTCTCGTTCTCTTCTCTTGCGAAAGACTTTGGAAGCTTGCTTTGCTTGGTGTTCTCGACGAATTCATCTCAGGTTATATATACTCGCAAAGAGATACTATTTGGTTTGTACAGTCTCACCATGCCGAAATTTCTCATGAGTTTCTTCTTAGATTCCACCATATCTTCGGACACTTTCGTTATTTTTGAATAAAGTTACATCGTCTCGGATGGATCATGGAGGTAATGATCGCGAGCCGACAATGGACGCCCACATACTTTGTTGGATATTGGTGTTGACACGCTTATATTATTCGTGGTCTTTGGAAACGCGAAATCATAGACTTTTTCTCCCCGCGCGCTGATCATTCTACTTCCGGCAGACGAATGCGCGTGAAAGAACCATTTCTTTTTCCCTTTGACAAGAAGTCAACTTTGTCGATATTCTGGAAGGATTCCTTTTTAGATTAGATAAATATTCTTAAACTATTTAAGTATATTCTATCTAATATTTCATACTGAGGTGAGAACTGTGCTTCTTTAACTCAAGTTCTCATAAAGTCCCTTCAATTCGTTAAAAGTATTTCTTGTCTCTTACCTTTGCTTTACAAGTAACATTGGCAAGAATCGAACCCGAAACGTATGCATTGGGAAACCGAGGTCCTAACTGACTGGTCTAAGTTGTTTTAGTGAGCTAGCGAACCAGAACAAGGGCTACTTAAAGAGCAAGATTTTCGCTTAAAAGTCCTTGTTGATTGGACTCTTCGGCATCGAACCCGGGTCTTCTACACCGGTTTACCTCTACACTTACCTGATAGCCATCATCTCGGCAACCGGGTTCCAATAATAAAATAACAATACCATCTACTTGAACCATATGGCATCCATGGCACTTTGTTAGATCGCGGATCCGCATTCTCGCTGCTCGAGGCCAGCGTTTCGTGCCTGGCAGAAGCCCTTCCCCGATTTCAGAGGTAAGAGGACGGGATCTGGGTGGATCGGGGCGACGCTCCTCTTCCAAAATACTTGACGACCTCCGCATGGTGGGATCCAAGGACGATAGTGGCGCTCTGGGTGTGGGGAGTTCACTCGGTAGAAGATGGAGAAGAAACCCCACTCGGCCAAGGAAGGAAAATTGACAGGAGAGTTTTGTTCTAGATTTTCTCACTCACTCGCTCACTCGCTGTTTCTATGAAAGATGCAGGGAGGAGAACAACTGGTAGCTCATTCCCGTCGCTATGGTCGTCTGTAAATGTACCCAGGCAAGGATCGTAGATTGGCAGATCCAGGACCGGACTGTCTATACCGAAGAACCGGCCAAGTTTTGGGAGGCCTGATCAAATCTCACAAGATACTCTCTCTCGAGTTTGCATGGAGCAAACACAGTTTTGCATTATCCTCAAGAACCGTAAAATCAGATGATAATGTCGCGCGATCTCCTCTCCAGTAAGAACATCGACTTGATCAACGCAGTCATTCATGGACGCGAAACGGGGCAGGATGGACGAGGCACGCCGCATTTTCGATTCCATGGATCGGCGCACCGCGGCGTCGTGGAACTGCGTCATCGGCGGCTACGCGCGGTGCGGCCAGCCGGGTCTCGCGCTCCAGTTCTTTGCGCGGCTGGTTGGATCCAAACGGCCGGATCTTCGTCACGGCTCTCCAGGCCTGTTCTTCGCTGGCCGCTAGAGAAAAAGGGGTGAGAGATTTACAGGGGAGGATCATCAAGCTCAAGAGCCTCAAGAGAGGCATGGCTCTTCATTCCCAGCTTGGTGGATTCTTGGTGGACAGGTTCGTGGCCAGCGCCCTGGTGGATTTCTATGGAAAGTGTGGCAGCGTGAGAGAAGCTCTAGAGATTTTCCAGGCTGCCAAGTTGGGAACAAAGGACGTGGTTGTGTGGAGTGCCATGATCAACGCTTGATCGCAAGGAGGGGAAGACGAGCTAGCCTTGGAGCTCTTTGAGCTTATGCTTTTGGAAGATGGAGCGGAGGCAAATGCCGGACTCTGGTGGCCGTGCTCGACGCTTGCACGAATCTGGGATGGCTGGACAGGGACGGAGAGATTTACTCGAAGTTTGCAAGAACAGGGGGATTTCGTCCAGCGTTTTTGTCTCCAACAGTATGATGGATATGTATGCAAAGTGGGGGAGATTGCTGGATTGCTGGAGAGTTTTCGATGGGATGATAGAGCGGGGAATTCGGTCTCATGGAATGTTATGATCATGGGATATGCAAAAGGTGGCGAGGCCGAGCGGGCTCTCGAGTTATTCACGGCCATGCAAGCGTTAGACGTGGTCGTCAGCTCGAGAACTTTGGCGGCCTTTCTCCAGGCGTGCTTGGATATGGCCGAGAAGGAAGAGGCTCGGCTTGTGGATGGAAGACTCTTGAAAGTGGCGTTGCTGGAGAAGGCATTGGCTGGAAGACTCCAAGGACTGAAACCGGACTCGGCAGGCTTTTGCATCGGTACTTAAGGCCTGTGGGGGCCTTGGAGCACTACAGGCTGGACAGACAATCCATCGTCTGATCGAAGAAGCTGGGGGGCTCCGGTGGTGGCAAACTCGCTCATAAGTTTCTATGGTAAGTGTGGTGACATCGTGGAATCTTGCCGAGTGTTCGATGGAGACAAGGACGCAGTGTCTTGGAGTGCACTGATCGCAGGATACAGCCGTCAAGGGGACAGTGATGCGGTGTTTGGTCGACAAGGGGATGGAATACTTTCACGCGATGTGCTTGGACTATGGACTTAGTCCGAGTGTGGAGCATGTAATCTCCATGGCTGATCTACTTCGACGTGCTAATCGGCTGGAGGATGCACTTGCGGTGGTGGAAAGCCTGCCTTTCCAATCATCGCATTGAAACAAGCCCCAAGCAAAGCCATCCATATCCTGGAGCACACCTCTTCCACAGGCAGCCTTTGATGCTCTATCAAAGGTTGACGATGAAGGTGGTACAGCTTATGCTCTCATGGCAAACATATACTCAGGCTCAAACAATGAAAACTATGACAACCTTGAAGTGATCGGTATGTAATTAAGTTTCTATGACTTTGCATTTATCTAAGTCTTGTTGCTTTCTTTGCAGCTGGATCTTTGTGATGTCACTTCAAGAAAGTGTGGAAAGAGTTGGACCTTATGCTCCACTGATGGTAATTCCTGAAGCATGGGCTTGCTTCAAATAGCCAAGGGCCTCCTGTGAGACGAGCTCTCCAGGAAAGAGCACAGAAATACCAGGTGGATACGGGCACACGAGCTCAGCAGTCGCTAGACCCACTGCTTCATCAGCTTTGCAGCAGTAAGTTTCTGCAAAGAATGCATAGCTTGGACTAACTAATGCTTTCCATCCGTTTTTGTTACAATCAGGCACTCGGGATCTGGAATAAGAACCTATTGTCAATCTGGAAGAACTCGAAAGGTCTTGAAAGCCTTTGATAAGTTTCTCAATGTCGCTGCTGCTAGTGCCGCCTCCCATAGCAAAAGTTATGGAGTTCAGAAGAGGAAGCTCGGACACCACCTTGCATTTATCGCACAGAAAGCCATCAGCAAGGGTTCCTGTGACTCCGAGCTCCCACAAACCAATGGTGATCCTAAGCTCATCAAAAATGGTATCAGCTTTGGCTGCCGAGCTCACATTTTTCTATCAAGGACTAAAACTTGTGGGATTTCTTTCAGGCGTCGTCGAGCTGTGCAAGCCAGCTCCAGAGCTGTATCAAACGCTGGATGGTCGTCGCTTGCTGCACCATCTGGTCCCTTGCGGCATCGAGAGAGGCCAAGAGAAGGTAACTCGGACTGGAGCTTTGCAAGGTTCTAAGGCACTTGCTAACTCTCTCGTGCTTTACAATCTTGCAGCCTCTCGTAACAAGGAAGAGCATAGTGAGGCATTGCTCCAGCAAGAACCATGGCTGGGAATGCCGAAACGTGGGGAGGATTGAAACGTCTCCTCGCTGCCTGGCAGCTCCGGGAGATCAAACTGGAAGAGTTGAGCTCCGAGAAGCTTGGAAATCGAAGAGGCGCTGAGGCCGTGGCCTGGGAAGTGAAACGCAGCGACACGCTCCTCGCCGGTTCTCTTGAGAGCTTCAAGCAATGAGGGGAGCAGTAACGGAGGATGATTGTTGAGCACCGTCGTCGGCATAGCCATCCACGCCACGAATACTTGATACACGATATTGTTTCAGGAATACGAGGCCCACAAATTTTCAGCGACACAGAAGTCTCCAACCAAAATTAGCTGCAAATTTATTCTTTTGTAATATCGATCAGAATCGAACCCGAAACGTATGCTTTGAGAAACCGAGGTGCTAACTGACTGGTCTAAGTTGCTTTAGTGAGCTAGCGAATCAGAAAAAAGGCTACTTAAAGAGCAAGAGTTTTCCCTAAAAGTCCTTGTTGATTGGACCCTTCGGCATCGAACCCGGGTCTTCTACACCGGTTTACCTCTACACTTACCTGATAGCCATCATCTCAGCAACCGGGTTCCGATAATAAAATTTCATACCATTGACTTGAACCATTAGTAAATTTTGAATTTGCATTCTCGATGCTAGCAAGAAGCTACCTTCCCGGATTTGGGGGTTAGGAAGACGGGATCTCGTGCTCGATTGCGGCTCAATAGCTTCGCCTCTGTTCGAAGCCCCGGCCTCAAACTGGTGGGATATTATCCAAGCTGCGAGTTCACTCTGGTGGTTGATCGTGAGATCCACACAACCCATTTTGTCTCTTCCACAGAGCAAGGTCTGTTGAATTTACTCAGTCAGGTTTTCCCTTCTTTCTTACTCTTTTGCTGGCCCAGAAAAAAGTAGTAACTTGTGAAACCGGGGCTGCTGTTACAACTCAACCGTCTTCAAGATCAAATAGCTCCGAAACATTCGACTAGTGGACGCAATTTACACATACTCCCGTTGCCTGGATCGTTTTTCAGTTGACCATGATGGTCACATTTCATGGTATTATTTGGCCATTACGAATTAAAAGGATTGATATCGATTCTCGACCTATGATCTTGGTTTCTTCCCCTGGGTGGGTCTCATGGAACTGATTGAAAGGTAAAACTATACCATTTTGCAAAATAAATATTAGATACAATAAGGCATATACTTAACTGGGCTTGAGCTTACCCTGGCGTTCATACAGCTGACGTGCGTGGGGAAACTCAAATCTGAATAGAGGCAATAGACCATCGACACCGAATTCAGGAAGGCCACCAGCATCAGCCACCACCTCTGCTCTGACCAGAGCTTCCTCAATGAGAAACATGTGTCTGTCGGTACACTACGAGTCTAAAGGGACTCGGTCTGCAGACTTGTTTCCGAAAAAGTTGACTATTGCCAAGAATCAAAACATGGAAGTTAGAAAACACGGACAATCTGATTGAAAAACTACATGGCAGATGATGAAGTTCGTGAAGTGGCTCAATATTGTAATTGTCGAAGTGAATAGTCACTAGCAACCCTTCTAGCATTTTCTCGTAGCTGACTGATGTTTGGCTGACCAGCAAATAGGGCCTCAGATTGCGTTTTTGAGGAAGGAGGCCTTGCCTCTTCGGGATCACAATGATACATCCTGCCAATTTGCAAAAATCGAGACTTCTATAGTAAATCTGAATAGCAAAAGAAAGGGCAATATTACCGACAACATGTTCAGCTGGCTTCCCCATCTCCATCAGAAACTCTCTTCTGAAATAACACATTCTTGAAAGCCAGGATTAGGGTTTATGCTTAGGTGTACGAAATTGATAAATGGTTTCACCTTATAACCTGTATAATTGTGACTTGGACTCAATTTCAAATTTAGTTTTAGACTCGTCTTAGACTTAGTCTTGGATTTGACAAATCTCATATATGTCCAGCCTATAAACTCTTTGTCATTTCTTTATATATTTATATATTTGTTTCATCTTTGAAATATTAGCTTTGATTTTACCTATACTTAGTCAGCCGCCACCACCACCACCACATACATATCCCCCTCAGCCTGTAACCATTTTTGTTGCAAGATTAAATGCCATATCTTTATTGAGTTTAATGAATAAATTCAATTGATAACTTATATTTATTCTACTTATATTGATGATGGAATAGTTACTTTAAATCAAAACTTAGTCAGAATCTCATTTCACACCATTACCCCACTTTTTATGGGTGGGATTTGTGTGGCTGATCTGTCTATACCAATTGGCTTCCCTTTGTATAATGTGTGGCAAGCATTTATATCTAGTAGAAATCAAATAGTTATCGATGCTATAGTTATTTCTTACAGAACAAGAGTAAGTTTTTATGCGGAGATACGCACAGAATTTCACCATCGGCAGACCTGGACATACGAAGCAGCCGCAAGCCAGGTTTACTACAGCCTCTTCAACAACATGGCATATATCAATGGGATGTCAGGAAGGAACACTATCAGGCCAAAGTCATCACAACACCCTGTCAGCTAGTCCGTCGCCAGTTGAACAGCTCGCTCCTTCAGGGAAAAAGCTTCTTAAGGCATCCAGACTCCTCCCAGTGGAAGTCCGGAAGTGAACCATTCAGTTTATCCTCGCCACCCACACTGCCTCCATCATTGTGCACGAGCAGCCTCCATTCAACTACATGAAGAGAAGAACTCGGTGACAAGAGTCCCGCAAGCGTGGATCAGTCTCGAACTGAAAAGATGGCTGGCAGGATCTGAAAAGAATTCCGGGCTCCAAGATTATCGGATTACAAGCGACGAAGTTCTACTTAAGAACGCGCCACGACATCGCAACATGCATTTTTTGCATTGCATGAAATGCTCTTAAGTTACGAAGTTCTACTCAGGAACCTCGCCACATGCATTTTCTAAAGGGCTCTCTCAATTCAAAAATCAAAGTTAAGGAAGATTTTAACAAGATGTTCTCATGCACTCTTTAGAAGGGCCTTGGTGGCATAGTATAAATCTCTGGTGGGGCTTCCTACGACCAGCGAACGTGATTGCCGTTGCTGCTGCTGCTCTCTTGTCGCAATGCTTCAAGAGCCTTAATTTTTATGACTGAGATTGTTATCCTTAGTATTTCCAAATAAAACTGATATTTCACTGCTGTTAGTCCCTTGTGACTTCTCATTTAATCATGCGATTCACAATTTCAGGCGAGCTAGGTTCTGCTTGAGAATCTGGTTTTATTTTGGTGTTCCTTGCTTGATCCTTTCAGGAATCTGAGGAAGTATCGCACTAGCTAGGAAATTGACCGAAAAGAGCTTTCTTGAAGCTCCACATCACCTTCATTGAAGAACTGGTTGCAGTGGGGCATATTTGAGAGCTTTTGGAACCTCGGCCTCTGTCAAGCAGCGCAATAGTGGACCATGAGCTGTTCTCCTGTAAAGTGGTCACTGGTCCTGGATCGATATTGTTGCATTCTCTTATATTGATTCACAGAATTGCATGGTTTAAGAAAACGAAAGACCGATACTCTATTTATGATTCAAGGTTTTGCAGCACAAATATCGACGTGAGCTCGTCAATGCTGAGGCTGTGATCCTTGCAGCTTTTCTCCCCAAATGCAAATTCCACCAGCTTCTTCTTCTCCTCCTGAATCTGTAAGATGCGCTCCTCCACAGTTTGTTTGACCACAAACCTGGTCACGTGGACCGGCCGAGTTTGACCAATGCGGTGCGTCCGGTCAATGGCCTGGTCCTCCGTGGTCGGGTTCCACCACATGTCCATTAGCAGCACACGAGTCGCGGCCACCAGGTTGAGCCCACACCCGCCAGCTCTAAGGGATATAAGCATTACCGCTACCTCTGGATCCTCGCTAAATCTCTTGATTGCCTCAACTCGCTTTCTTGTGCTCATGCTCCCGTCGATCCTGGAGAACTGGATCCCGGCTTCCTCCAGCTCTGGTTCAATCAGGTCGAGCATAGACGTCCACTGTGAGAAGATGAGGGATTTCTCTCCATGAGGGGTCATATCCAGCACCCTCATCGCGGCTTTCAGCTTGGCCGACTGGCCAATCTCTTGCACTTTGCGATCAAACTCTTCTTGCCTCTCCTGGGCCTCGAGCTGGAGCTTACTCAAGGCCTCTCTCATCTGCTGGTGCCCACTTCCATCTTCACTTCCATCTTCATCCATGATGAGATCATCGTCTTCGACTTGGAAGAGGTGGTCACTGTCGAGCAGCGCTGGATGGTTACACATTTGCCTCAGTCGCAGCAGCATGCTCAACATGTTAAACTTGTTCATCTGGAGCGTCCCTTCGCTGCTGTATTCGCTGATTCTTGCCTCGTACTCCTCCATAAGATCTTCATAGAGTTCTCTCTCCAGCTTCGATAGCTCCACCTCCACCCGGTTGACCAGCCTGGGCGGCAGCCGCAGCACTGGCTCGCCATCAACGATCGAGTTCTTGTTCCGCCGAAGCACAATGCTCTCCAGCGCCGCCTTGAGCTCCAGCGAGTAGCCCTTCTTCTCATACACTTCATACTGCTCGTCAAAAGCTTTACGATTGTGACAATAGGGCTGGACCCGGAGAAAGCAGAAAAAAGCATAGAGATCCTTGATGTTGTTCTGGAATGGCGTTCCTGAGAGAGCCCATCTGTACGTCGCGGAGAGATGCATGCAAGAGCGCGAGACTTGGGTGTAGGCATTCCGGATGGATTGTGCTTCGTCTAGCACCACCCTGTGCCACGCCACATTGCCCAGGGGTCCAGAAAGGTACTGCCTCTCCACGATCCAAGCTGCACGACGTCGATTAAAGACCTTGTTCACCTTGTTACACTGCTCCTTGGCCAGTACTCCGTACGTGGTGATCACTACGTCGTACAATGCCAGCGTCTCAGGCGTCACCTTGCGTTTGTCATGGTAGACGAATGTGGAGAGTGGTGCAGTGGCCGCCACCTTAGTTGCGATCTCGCTCTCCCACTGCCGGATCACGCTTACCGGGCAAACGATGAGCGTACCACCCCTGACTTTCTTTTGACTTGCATGGTCTTGGGCCATTGACCTTGGGCTAGCCTCGAGGATGAGCGCGATGGCTGAGAGGGTCTTGCCCAGGCCCTGGTCGTCAGCAAGGATGCCACCTTTTCTGTCGCTAGACTCCTGCTCCAGCATCCAGGCTAGGGCTTGCTTTTGGTGATTCATCAACTCAACTGTCATTGACCTAGGCTCCAAATCATTTTGGGAGGACTCCCCTTGTATTTGCTTCTTCTCCCCCTCGCCCACAAACTCCCCCTTCCTCTTCTTCATTGCTATTGCTACGTAAAAGTTGGAGAAAAACTAGAAACCCTTATGGTTTTTAAAGGATGGTAATGCTAATGGTTGCCATCATCATACCAGACGGTAAACAGGTGTTCTGCAATGACCTCCATAAACCACAACCTTCCTGCTAAGCTTGAAAGATAATCCTTGACCTCTCTCACACCTCATCGCCCTTGATCCTATAAGTCTTAACAAGTTGCTCCTATTTATCTACGCGTAATCACAACTTAGAGATTCCAATGTGGCATAACACCAGGAGATCAAGCATCCACTTTTGCAGAGCCTCACACTCCTCCACGTCATGCCCTACTGCCACGTCGGGCTGCCAGGTCGGTTGTTTTGAGAATATTATCTGGAATGGTTCATGCTAAATAGATGGTTTCAATAAATATTAATAATTGCTCATCAGTTTTATTGTAAAGGTTTTGTTATATAGCGATTTCTCTACACAGGCAGATTTCCTTGCGAAAATCTGGAACGGGAGAAAGCGCTTCTGTATACACAATATGCTACACAGCAGTACAAACTTGCGCAAATAGTCATCATACACAAAGTTATAGACGATGAGCCAGGCAACAAGAAAAAAAAGAGAGAAAAACGAACGACGAAGGCTCAAGCCATCTTCGAAAAGACTGGAGCGCTTCGTGTTCGCCGGATACCTGGCGTAGGAAACTCGACCTCGATCGGTGGAGGCTTGTGGTCACGCTTGGTGTGAGTCTTTGGTAGCTTGGTGATGGCCAACACTCCTCCAATCAGCGCGGCACCCGAGGCAACGAGAAACGATGGTATGTTTCCTCCTCCAAATGCTTGGTCCCAAGGCCCACTTCCGAGCGAGATTATAACCTGTAAGTTCCAGAGAGGTGATCCATCAGTATCCGCAAGAAGTACCAGAGTTTCTTAAAGCTATGACGAACTTACCTGTGGGATGACAACGGCAAGATTTAAAACTCCCATAGAGAGCCCTGGAGAAGAAAATCCATGCTAAAGCTTAAACGCTGTGATAAACAAGAGGAAAGTTACCTTGACCACCGCCGATGGAGCTCGTGTAGCTCGCAGTCAGAGCATACGGAACGCTGTACGTGACCTGCAAAACCATGCTTGAGTGCTTGAATCGCGAAGAACTTCTCTTCTAGAGTAGAGCACAAGAAAGGAAACGAAAAACTTACTGCCAGTGGTATTCCAAGGATCGAAAAGAGGAGGAGAACGACTGTCAAAACACCTGCTGATGGCGGACTGCGTCCTTTCCCGGCCACCTTGGTGATCCCGACGATACCGGCGAAGCAAAACGCCAGGATCACATCCGCAAATCCCCACAAGTAGCTCGGCCCGACTCGTCGACACAAAGGCTCCACCATGAGTGACGTGAGTCCCAGCACCACAGAGTTGAGCATCAGTCCGAACGATCCCATCCTCACTCCCTTGTTGTACAAATCGGTTCTGGCCTGGAGCCTCGAGTCGGGCTGTCCTCTGTAGATCTCGTGCCCCATCCAGTCCGTGTCGTAGAGCAAGAATGGGAACCACGCCACCCAAGTGAGAGCCGTGACGAGCAGGATGTACCACATTTGCCGGGGCAGCGTCTTCATGGTGCTGAAAAGCTCCCAGAAGAAGGCCTTGTTCTCGGTCTCGCAAGTCGGCAACACCTCCGGACCGTGTGGAGATTCGGACAAGCCTTCGCTGCTGAGGATGGTCTCGAGCTCTTTGCCATGGTCGGCACTGAGGTTGTTCCACGGCTTGGCCACGAGCTTGCCATTCTCGACGGTGCTGTCGCTCAAGTTTTGCCGGCCGTGAGCGTTTTCCACGTCCCGGCGCTCGGAGCTGTTGCTGAGGATCCTTTTCAGCGTGCTGGTGCTGTTGCTGCCGTCGTTTTTGCTGCTGCCATGGCTGCTGCCACCACCACCAGCACCAACGCCGCCGCCTCGTAAGATCTCCGAGAGTGGAACCTCTGGAGCGGCCGTGATGCTGAGCAGCGTTGTGAATATGAGCATTATGATGTCGAGGAAGAACGCGGACTTCAAGTTGGCGCAGGCCATGTCACACGCTGTCGTGATAGCGAAAGGAAAAACTTTGGCCCAGTTGCCGTAGGCACCGGTTGCAAAGCCCAGAATGTTGCCAATGGCCATGAAGAGCGAGAAGAAAGCGTTTGCTCTTCGCGTTCTTCTCTGGCTGCGGCCTGCAAAGGAAAAGTTCAGCGATAAGGCATCTTGGACAACCAAGAATGTCAAAAACAACACACAAGGCAATCTAGCAAGAAAGAACTGTAGAGAAAAACAATAAGAAACCCCAACTAGAGTCTAGGACGTCTCTCTATCCCTGGAACTACACCAGTGAAAGAAAAAATGAGAAAAGTTTGCAATTCTAAGCTAAGAGGGGAAGGAGAAATATGGTACATGCGGACGCTTGGACTAGCCCATGCTCTGCTCGTCACCTCCAGCTCTGTAAAACTGGCGAACACTCTTAAAATCGACGAACTCCAAGTCAGAAGTAGAAGAAGTATGCTAAATCATCAAGGAAAGAAAAAACTGCCAAGCATGGAGTGATCTACGATGAAAAGCTCCAAAGAAAAATGAAAGCTCCAAAGCAGAGAAGGAAGAAGAACTAAGAGAAGATGGCGAACCAAGCAGCTCCTAAAAGGATGAAGAAAACCGGAAGAAAAAAAACAAACTTTGAGCAAGAGTACCTGTGAGATCGGCCAGGAGCGCTCGGCACGGCCCCTGGAGAGTGTTGTTCGCGAGGTCGAGCAGCCAGAATCCCAGCACGAACATCACAATGGCCCGCGTCTTGGTAGTACTCTCCATCGAATCACCAAAGAGGTGTCCCAGATCGGCCGAGAAGCCGATGATGAGCACCGCGATGATCACGCAAACGCATCCAGCGACGAGGAAGGGGCGGCGGCGCCCCCATCGGCTCCTACAGTTATCGCTGTAGTACCCGACGATGGGCTGGACGAGCATTCCGGTAATGGGGCCGCAAAGCCATATGTAACTGGCGAATGTGTGAGGGATTCCCAGCTCTTGGACGTATGGAGTGAGGAGGGAGAGCTGCAAGGCCCAGCCGAATTGGATCCCGGCGGCCACGGAGGAGACGCGGAAGAGTTGGCGCTGGCGGATCTTCCGGGAGTCTTTCTTCTTCTTGGCGGCGGCGCCGGTGGCGGCGGAGGTGGAGAATGTGGGCAGGACGCTCATCCCCACCGGATCCAGATGATCCGGATTCTTCCTCTTCCTCCGGAACTGCTGCCTCCACCGCTCCCACATCCCTGGGCGCCGAAATTTAGGTCAGAAAAGAGCCCACAACTCACTGCCACTGCGCGGATGGATCGATCCAACACAATGCCGATCGATGCGCCGGATCCTTGCTGGCGCCGCGAGAGATCTATGCGATGGGGCGAGAAGAGACCATCCGGGGAATGGGGGAATGGGAGCGCCCAGCCACGGTGAGCGCCAAAGCGAGCGATTTGAAATAACCCAGACGAGAGAGAAGGGGAAATATAAAAAGTGCCACTTAGGGCAAAGCGTGACGCTGGATGGAATATTTGAAATTTAAACGGTGCCACGTGGCGCAGCCGCATTGCTCCACAGTGGACGCCACGTGGGGCCTCGAGCGCGCGCCACAGTGGCAGGGCCCCGTCGCGTCAGCACCTGGAATGGTCGTCGCTTCAACACGTCACGAATCTTTGCCGCCGGGCGGAAATAATTTCGTTGTACACGTGGTTTGCCTGCCATGGGAATTTTTCTTTTGGAGAAACTTTGAGTGCTCGCAGGAGGACCACCATTCACGAGGAACTTAAAGCGTACCATTCAGTCGATGGAATCGATCGATCATTGCAACTTGCCGAGAACGATGCCGCCGAAAACAATGGCCCCGAGCCACTTGTTGGATCCAAATCTATAAACACACCACCACGATTGACAATTCTTTCAAGTCAGCCAAGGCGGCTTCTGGAAAAATAAAAAGAGAGCTCCACTCACTTCCGGTTACAATCATCGCTGTTTGAGATGTCGAGAGTCTGGAGCTGCCAAGCGAGGTGACAAGCTGTACCAAGGACGCCTCCATAGAATGGCCAGCCTGAAAGAAAAAACAAGGGAATCGCGAGAGCGAGCGCTTTACGACTTGGTATGAAAAGCACTGGTGTGAGCACTTACCGATACCAGTATTGTACCCCGCCAGAGCGAGGAAAGAAACGGAGGCTGCGCTGAAACCCGTGAGCCAGAGACAAGTGTGGTCTCCGAATCTTAATGCCGTGGACTTGACACCCACTTTGAGGTCATCCTCTTTATCCTGGCGGAACGAACAAAAGCGAAAATAATTCATTGTGCTCTTTGTAATGGAAGGAAAAGCGTACCTGGTGTGCATATATGGTGTCGTAGACAAGCGTCCAGCATATCCCGGACAAATACAGTGGAAGAACAACGGCTGGATTTAAGCTGCCTTGGATGGCCGACCATCCCAAAAGCGCTCCCCAATTGAAAGTTAGGCCCAGATACGCTTGAGGCTGTTTAGAAAAACAATAACCAGCAGCATTGTCTTCTACTTCGACTTGGAGATCGAGAGCTTGAAAGAATACATACCCAAAATGTCCACCTTTTCATCAAGGGATAGGTGCCAACGAGGAGTAGAGACGATGCTCCTAGAATTCGGCTGATATTGTCAAGGTTGAGAAGAACACAGCGAAAAAAACACAGAGAAATAAATAGGAGAGCTTGTTCTACCTGAAATCATTGAGCTGGAGGAGAATTCCCAGGCCCAAAAGAAGCTGGCAACCGAGAAATCCAACACCTTGAGCTGGAGACAATGCTCCAGAAGCGATTGGCCGAAGTTTGGTTCTATCAACCTGAAATACATGAGCGTCAAGTCAGCAAGAAAAAAAAAAAATGGACTCAAAGAGACCTTGCCATCGATATCACGATCAAGTAAGTCATTCACCGTGCAGCCAGCACCACGCAGCAAGATCGCTCCCGTTCCAAACAGCGCGAGCATTTTCAGGTCTGGCAAGCTTCCAGCCGGAGCGGCGAGAGCGATCGACCTGGAGAACGCAAAGCAAGCTTTACAAACCAAGAACAAAAAAAATCGACAAAAAGAAGAACTTACATACCAAAAGCATGGCCATGCCAGTAACCAAGTTCCAATCGGCTTGTCCAACCTCGCAAGGCACGCAAACGGCTGGAGCGACGGTGGAAAAGACTTAATCCACGAAGCGGACGATCGATCGTCTTGTTTCCCGCCCTTGCCTAATGGCTCCACTCGACTGGAGCTCGAAGAATACCACACAATGCTCGATCGCACGACGTACCCATGGCTTTCGATCCCGGAGAGAATTCGCTGCCGCTGCGGCCAGAGAATGGAATCACTCGCTCTTACCGCATTGCGCGATCCTCCTCGCCGCCGGGAATTCGCCACAGATCTCACCACACGGCGCCATAGGCCAGGCCCGCCCATCCACTGGAGAAAACCCTAAACCTCTTAATATGAAGGACAATAGGAATAATATAGAGAAATTTTAAAATGCTTATTATGATTGATACAATAGGGAAAGAACAATAGGAGAGGGAAAGAACAATAGGAATAATATAGAGAAAGAGTGATCGCTTTCTCCTATGGTATGGGAGAGCTTCTCGTACGGCGAATACTCCTGGAACGAAACTCTGGCGCCGGCCTTGGAAGGATTAAAAACGCGAGAACTCCGCCAATGAAAGAAGCTCCCAGCGCCAACGCGAAGGATGGAACGTTTCCACCGCCGAATAGCGCATCCCAAGGACCGCTACCGAGCGAGATAATGATCTGCAGAGAGATTAGAAAACACAACGCTTTGATTGCGAGGAACTGCCAGCTCTTTCGTTACCTGCGGAACTACGACGGCCAGATTCAGCACTCCCATTGCCAGGCCTGTAGGAATGGTTCTCAAGTTAGAAAAAAAACATGAACTTTGCAAATGTTTGAAACTTTCAAGCTCGCGAATCGAGAGAGATAAACTTACCTTGGCCACCTCCGCTGTTGTTCGTGGAATGCGATGCCAGCGCAAAAGGAATGCTGTAAGTCACCTATAGGGACAAAACACACTCAGTGACAAAACGAAAAACGAAGAGAAAGACAAGAAAACAGTACCGCAAGAGGAGCTCCCAGAGCCGCGAAGACAACGAGGGCACCGATGGTTGTTCCTGTCGGCGGGATTACTCGATCGGTGTTCTTCATCGCGTAAGTAATCGCTATCATCGCAGCAAAGCTCGCGGCCATGATAAAGTTCCCGATACCCCACACGAAGCTCGGCTTGAGCATCCGGCAAAGTGGTTCCATTACAATGGACGTGATCCCGAGCACCACCGAGTTGAGCATCAGCCCGAACGATCCCATTCGGACACCCCTGTCGTAAATCTGCGCGGTCGCGGAGCCGGGCTCGCCTTTAAACACCTCTCTTCCAAACCAGTCCGTGTCGAATAGCGTGAACGGAAACCACGCCAGCCAAGTTAACGCCGTCACCAAGAGGATGCACCACATTGGTCGCGGAAGATCTCGCAAAGTTCCCACAAGCTCCCAGAAGAAGGCCTCCGATTCTTCCTCCTCATCTTCATCGTCGTCGTTTACGTTCTCTGGATCATCGGCGTACTGTGGATCTGGCTTGTCGGGAATCAGCGGGGTGGTGGGAGTACTCACACCGTGCTTCTGGGCCTTCGTCAGTGGTGACCACGGGATTTCTTGGGCGGCTGTAATGCTCAAGAGGGTCGTCACGATGAGCAGGATCAAGTCGATCATAAAAGCCGACTTTAAGTTGGCGCATGGTCGGTTGCAACCTCTGGTCTCTGTGAAAGGAAAGATCTTCGGCCAATTGTTATAAGATCCCGCTGCAAACCCGAGAATGTTTCCAATCGAGATGAAAAACGAGAAGAACGCATTTGCCCGGCGATTTCTTCGCTGATCTCTCCCTGTGACAGGAAGAATAAAAACTCAACTTTGAAGCTAGAACTAGAAGAAAACCAAGGATCTTACCAGTGAAATCCGCTAGAAGTGCTCTACAGGGACCCTGGAGAGTGTTGTTAGCCAGATCCAAGAACCAAAACCCGACCACAAAGATCCCGATGGCTCTGGGCCTCCTGGTGGGAGTATCGCCAAGAATGTATCCCAGATCGGCCGCGAAGCTGATGATCAAGACCGAGATAACCACCAAAATCGCGCCTAGGACAATGAATGGCCGCCGCCTCCCCCACTTCCCCTCCCAGTGATCGCTGTAGAATCCCACGATGGGCTGGACGAACATCCCCGAGATCGGCCCACACAGCCAAATGTAGCTCGCAAAAGTGTGAGGAATCCCGAGCTCCTGGACGTAGGGCGTGAGCAGCGATAGCTGCAGCGCCCAGCCGAATTGGACGCCCGCGGCCACGGACGCGACGCGCGCGAGCGCCTTGAGCGGGACGCGATCGGCGCGCGAGCGCTTGGCAATGCTGCCCTCCGCCATCGCTCGCGATCTCCCAAGCCCTAGCCCTAGAAGAAGGGCTTTGAGGACCACTAGTGCCACTCCTCTTGGCCATTTTGCTGTTCGATGATTTGGAGAGGCTATAGTAAAAGATTTGTTTGTCGAGAGCCCGATAACGCCCTACGTGGCGACACTTGTCCAAGGAACCTATTTGACGTGTCGGGAGAAGACACATGGCAGCATGCAAGTGGCGACAAAATTGCCAGTCCGCTGGCAATTGGCTGGATCCCCCTAAAATTTTGGAAAATTATCGAGAAAAGGTTAAAAATTAGGGGGATTTTAGGGTTCCTGGGCAGGTTTAGGGTTCTTGGGGACATTTTAGGGCGAGGTTGGAGAGGAGGATGGAGCGGAGATTTCTCCGTCCAGATCCACTGCTTTCCTGGCCGCGCGGGCGCCGCGGCTGATTTCGTTGCTGCTGCCCAGCAATGCGGTCCAGGAGATAGAATCCGGCACGAGGCTCATTGTTTGGAGGAGCTCCTCGGCGTCTCTTGCCTGGCCGGATCGTCCCAGAATGTGGATCATGCAGCTGTAGTGCTCGATCGAGGGGACGAGGCCGTGGTCGGCGGTGATGGAGTGGAAGAATTGCCGGCTCGTTTCTAGCAATCCAATGTGGGCGCACGCGGCCAGGATCTCGATGTAGGCGATCTCATCCGGCGCGATGCCCTCGAGCAGCATCGCCAGGACGAGCTGGATCGCCTCCTCGCCCTGCGAATTCCGGGCGAAGGCCTGGACGATCGTCGACCATGACACGCGATTCCTCTCCGGCATTGTGTCGAAGAGGTCTCTCGCGGATTGGAGCATGCCCCGCCGCGCGAGCGCCTGGATCATGCTCGTCCACGACAAGACATTCCTCTCGGGCATCTCCAGGAAGAAATTCGCGAAGTCATCGCCCATCCCCCACTCTGCCAGTGTCGCCATGGCGATGTTCCACGATACAAGATCCGGGCGTGGCATCGCCCTCAGCGTCTCGATCATCCCGGCAACGCAGCCATCGCGAGAGAACGCGTAGAGCATCGAATTCCACACCACAGCATCCCGGCGATTGATCGGGATGGAATCAAAGAGAGCTCTCGCCTCTTCCAGATGCCCCAATTGGGCATAAGCTGTGATCATACTCGTCCATGACACCGTATCTCTCTCGGGCATCCTCTCAAACAAACTTCTAGCTTCCTCCAGATCCCCACGCCCCGCGTACCCAGCGATCAGGGCCGTCCACGTCACCACATTTCCCTCGCGCATCGAATCGAACAGCTTTCGCGCCTCGCGCATTTGCCCTCTCGCGGAATATGCGCCGATCACGATGCTGCACGATACCACCTCCCTCTCCGGGATTCGCGCAAACAGCGCAAGCACCTCGTCTAGATGCCCAGTCTGCGAATATGCCGCAAGCATGACTGTCCACGCCACGAGGTTCCTCTCGGGCATGGAATCAAACAATTCCCTGGCATCGAGAATATGCCCAGTCTCGGCATATGCTTTTACCATGCCCGTGAAGGTGACGAGGTTTCTTACTGGCATTTTTTGGAAGAGTAATTTTGCGTCGTCCACTCGGCCGGAAGAACCATAAGCTTTGATCATGGTGGTCCAAGAGACGACGTTTTTATCCGGGATTCGATCAAACAAGCTTCTCGCGCGATCGAGATGCCCGTTCTGGGCATATGCCTCGAGCAAGATGTTCCACGAGAAGACGTTGGGTAGTGGCAAGGCCTGGAAGAGACGCTGGGCTTCCTCCACAGACCCACATCTTCCATAAGCTTCGAGCAGCAAATTCGCGAGGTAAGTGGCGTCGTCCTGGCGGAGATGCTTGCTCTTGAGAACTTGTCTGTGGATCTGCCTGGCTCGATCGAAGTCTCTTGCGTCGCTGCACTGCCGGATCTCGCTGGCCAGCTGCGTGAAAGTCACAGCTTCCATCATCCACCATTCTCGCTTCTAAAGCGTTTGCAAGTGATCTAAGTGATCGAAGTGATGTCGCTCGGCTTCTGGAGGAAAAAAAAAAACGTTGGATTCTAAAAAGAGCGATGAAGGATTACTGTACCTGTCCAACAAAAGACGGCTGCCAAGACGGGCACTTCCAACTTCCAACCAGAAAAGCTTGACTTCCTCGATTTCCAAACAATCCAATCCGTCCGACTAGCCATCTAGTAGCGGCTTGTCACCTTTCGCATAAATGCTACTCGCCAGGAATCTCCCTCGATTCCTGTTCATCTTCCACACACACTTCATCAAGAGGTCTGGCAGCAAGAAATACGAGATGAAGTTAATGGATTCCGCCAACCTCTTAACTACTGCTAGATCGTCTACCTTGGATGATGGTGAAGAGAATTCCACAAGGAAGGAGAAGGTAGCGCTGCGCATCCTCCTCCACATGAGAGAAGAAGAGGACACGGCCATGGCGGAGAGGTTTTCTGTGAGTTCCACCAAGCAGCTGCCAACAATCGCCGAAGAGATTCCAGTGTCCCCGAGCGCGAAGAATCAGCAGCAGCAGCAGCAGCAGCAGCAGCAGCAACAGCGAAGACGAGTGGCTGCAAGCAGCAAGAGCAGCACGAGTGAGGACGACGAGATGCAAGCAAACTTTGAGAAGCTGTGTACCAGAGCGACGGGTTGCCGGCCTTTGATAGGAATCCTCTCCAGCATCATCGCTTGCGGGAATCGAGCGACTTCTCCAGTTCCTGCTGCTAGATCAGAGCATAGTTCTTCGCCAGCTACAAACTCGAGGACGATCAGGCTCCGGCAGCAGCCGACTCAGGAGCTCCTGGAGTTGAGCAAACGGCAGCAATCGGCACTGGTTGACAAGCAGGACACGATCGACATGCTAGAGTGGCAACTGGAGCAGCTGCAAAGCATGGCGATGAAAGAGCGAGAGATCACAGGTATTTGCTGTAGGCACAAAGGGAGTCCACTGTTAGTCCCGCAGAGAAACCAGAGCAAGGAAACGCTTACCACCGAGGGAAATGGCGAAGAATGCTCCGTCCTTAGTGAGAAGCGCGTCGGGGGAGCGATAAAGTCTCGCGAGGGAAACACCACTCTTCCACCACGAAGATCGTCGTCACCGGCAGTAGACCACGTTTCCATGGATATGGAGATCACTGCCACCGAGCTCCTCCTTGAGATGACGGTCGTGCGAGCGACTCTGGCCATTCGGAAGTTCTGCAAAGTCTTCATGAAGCAGATGGAGATGTCCGGCTACTCGGTGTTGCGAGCTCTGGGAGATCTGGAGCCGAGGACAGTCTTTGCAAAGAAGGAACACACGGCGTTCGCTCTGGAGTCTCGCATCAACAAGGCCCTGTTCCACTGCTTCGAGAACGAAAGCTTCGACCACTTTGGCATCACCAAGATCCTCAACCCGTCCCAGCGAGCTCTTGCCAGGCTCGAGGAGTTCCAACGGATGAAGCTGCTGGATATCGCGGATGCCGTCAACCCGGCCCACGCCAACTTTGAGCCCGACTTCCTCAACTTTTGCGAGAACAAGACTCACGATATGTGGGGTCTCTTTCCTTGGACGATCATCTTCAAGGCGACGGCTGAGAGGAACTGCTTCACCTCGGCTTTCATCAACGCTTGCAAAGGCGTCTGGTTGCTGCACCGGCTCGCTTACTCGATGAACCCGGCGGCTGGGATTATCAGAGTCGGACGAGGAATGGACGTCAATCCCGTTTACGTAGAACCAGTTGTGCATCCAGCTTCGCCGTGCAAGAGTTGTAAGAAGAGTAAGCTGGAGTTCATGGTGATGCCAGGTTTCAGAACCCAGAAGAAGGCCGTCAAGTGTTCAGTGTACGTGCACTTCGAGTGCAAATGACTGCATTATTTTGGAAAGTTGAGAAAACAAAAAAATAAAAACTGATTTGTCTAGAAGACCTTGGATTGCCGTGATTGCTCCAGTGTTCTGCTGTAGCGGCCGGCCAGTGGAAGGTTAGAGAAAACACCTACCCAGTGAAATGCTAGCTTGCACTAGACTTCATGACGAAACGCGGGGGAACCACGGCTTAAAATTGTCGAACTTCTGGATAAATTCGGCCACAGAAAAGTTGTGCATTGAGAATCCGTTTCGCAAGTCTTTGTCTCTCGGAACACCTTGATGCTGTTACAGACAAGGTGTGAGTTTTTTAATCTAAACTGCTTCAAATACAATGGATTTACCAGGAGAAATGCAAAAATCAGCTCCAGGAAAGTATTTTCTGAAAGATTGGCGGGACAGTTGTTCCCGCAGGTAATCAAATGCCTGTACCAATAAACTCGGTTCAACCAATGTATGATTTTCTTTACTACATGCATGCTCACCTGGTCTCTTGATTGTCTTTGTTGATGGTTACATCATACAACCAGCCATTGCTCAGCTTTGATTTATCGTGGTAGCAGATAAAGTAATCAACTGTTCCACCATACGGCGTTGTAACCACTGTGTGCTTCCCTTTGGGAGCGTCCGCCGGAGTAGTGGTCTACACTTACAGAATCAGCAACTAAAGAGATACAGGATAGCATACCTCCAAAACATCACACCGTCCCAACTCCATCAGTGCAGGATCATATATCATCTGAATAAAACATAGAGAATGTGATCTATTCTGGAAAAGAAAAATAGAGCCAACTACGTACCTCCTCTTTGAGACCTCTCCTGACCATAATTTGGATAAGTCCTTTAGCTTTCTCGATTGCCGCCGCTAAAACGGATCCCCTGTCCATAACTGCACCCACAGAAACCTCGGCAGGCTGCTCCCATTGCTTTCTCTGCGTCTCGTCCGCATTCCCGGGTGGAGGCGATCCCAATTCTTCTATCCACTGTTCACACGAACGCTCAAACAGACAGCTGACAATTCACGATCATGTTCCCGGTTAAATCTTCTTAAATCTGTGCAAAAAAACCAGTAGAAACGTACCCTTTGCTTGACATAGTTCGGCTTTGGGAAGCTCTCCACGTTGGGCAAGTGATAAACTTTGTAGTAGTAGCAAAAGCCGGGCTTTCTCCCCATTATCTTCCTCATACTGTTCCGGAGGCTCTTCGCAATGCCGATGTACTGCACCTTCTTCAGCCTGTCCAGCACCGCAAACGCACTGACAGCCGTGTTGGGGTCGCACTGAGGCTCGATCTTCCCCTCCGCGTTGATGTAGTTTAGCAAAGGCAGCTCCTTGATCCCGGGAAACATCGGCACCGCGGGAGAAGCACGAAGCAGCTCTTCTTCCTTGGCTCTAGCAGCCGCAGCTTCTTCCAGCTGCGCGGCTTCCCATTTGCGAAGCAAGCCTTCCAGATCTTCCTCGGGTTCAGCAGCCCCCTTCTTCTCGTTCAGATCTTTGGCTAGTGACCGCCGGACTTTCTCGCGAGATCTCGCATTCTTGAGCAGAAAGAGCGAGAAATCGATGAGCGAATTCTCCGAAGCCATCAAAGGTGGCGAGCCCATCTGCTCGGCAGGAGCTTCCTTCTCCTCGTAGCCATCTCTGTTTGTCTCCTTGCCTTTCTCATCTTTCCCGCCGTTCACCGAGATGTTACGCACACCAATTGTGATGTCGCTTGGCTCCTCCACCTCGATGTGAACGCTCGGATGCTCCTCACGAATCCGGTCTAGATCGTGCGGCGGCTTCGCTGAGATGACTGAAATCTCCCTCACTCTCACCGATTTGTCTCTGCTGGCATTGCTGCTCGGCGTCGCAGCTCCCGGCGGCGTCGGAGGAATCTCATAGACGGTGTTCTTGTTTGGCGTCGGGCGCGCGCTCATGAGATCCAGCCGAGGGACGGGCTCCGGGAGTGGAAATTCCACATCGTTAGGCAGCGCCCTGTTGTAGGGAGCGGGAGTCGGGGGTGGAATCTCATACCCGGCGGAGGAGCACGAAGAACAGCACGGCTTCTGCGGCGGCCGCGTTCCATTTCCACCGATCCGTGTGATCTGGAGCCAAGATTTCAAGGAATGAATGCAAGCGCTTGGATTGCGATTGCGATCGACTCACCTGGATCTCACTCTCGCAGGGAGCGCACGAAGAAGTGTCCTTGCCGGACTGGACCGGGATTTCCAGCGTCCTCCCAGGATGCCCCATGGAAATATAAACCCTAGCCCACAAGACAGTTCAAATTTTCCCGCTCGTAAACCTCGCCACGTGGATATTCCACTTTACTTAAAACGTCACGTGAGCCGTTGGATCTTCTACATCTGACGGTCACTTTTTGCCATGAAGCTAAACTCTTTAGCTTCGAGCATATGTTTTAGAAGCCAAAGTTCTGCTTTTCGATCTCCTGGAATGAAATTTTTTAATTTTTGGCACTGTAAGAACAAAATGGAAGCATACCTTAATCTTCCTCGTCTATAGTTTCGATGGTTTCGGCTTGTCCAGGAACTCCAGAGACCACCCTTTGGAAGTAGTAGTCTGGAAGGCCTACGAGCTCCAAAGTTTTGTTCCAAGTCTTAAACGCAGCATCCAGGTCCATCGCTTGCTTGGCCACACTGACTGGCGTACAGGCGGACGAGAAGTATGGAGCGCTCGGATAGTTCGAAGCTCTGATAGCTCGAGCGTATTCCAACACATGAGGATCAGTCGCACAGAAAAGCACGCTGCGAGCGCCTGCGTAAGATAGTATCAAGTGTAAGACACGAAGAGAAGCCATGGAAACTATGCAAACCTTCCAAAGGAGTGAAGAGAAAAAACGGTATAAACTTGTATGCTACTTGCAGCCATTTCGGAAGTGTTCGGACCTGAGATTCAAAGATTTGTATTGAAACCGAGGTTTATTTGCGGGTTCTTACATACCACATTCGTGATGACTTCGCCAGGATGAACTGAGATGATGTCAACATTCGCTTCCTCTGGCAGCGTTCGTTGAAGCACATTGCTGAAATGTAACTAGAAACAAAAAGATCAAAGAGGAAAACGAATGCTCGAAACGAACCTGTGCCAGTTTGCTGGACGAGTAAGCTGCCGTGCTGTTGAACCCCTTCTTTCCAGGCGTGGTGTTGAGATCTTCAAAGTCGAGGGAGCCAAGGTGGTGCATCTAGAAAAAGAGACTCATAAAAACTCGGTTCCAACATTTTCATCGGCCAAACACTAACAGCAGAGCTGACATTGATCACTCGCGAAGGCCCGCTTCGCAGCAAAGAGGGCAGCAACAGCATCGTTAGCAGCGATGGAGCGAGATGGTTCACTTGCATGTGTTCTTCCAGACGATCTTCCGAGACTCTCTCAGATCCTACGAAGGACAAAAGATGACTTTGGAAAGATGTGCTTCACCTTGAAAACTTTCAAGGTACCTGCCATATGGAAAATCCCGGCATTGTTGATGAGAATGTGTAGTGGACGATTTTGGAGCTCCCAATCCTTGGCAAACTGTCGAACAGACTTTAGAGACGAAAGATTCAGCTCCAGTGCCTGTAGATTGATGCGAAGATCAGACAATAGTGAAAAGAAAGAAAGAAAATAACTTACTTCTACGTCCAGAAGCGGGACTCCATTGGCACACTGATCCTTTTGCCAAAGCTTGATAAGCTCGTTGGCAGCCTTGGTGTTACGAACAGCGAGCACGACATGAGCTCCAGCTTTTGCTAGCTCCCTACATTGTCCTCACAATCACTCCCAGAACCATCAGAAACCCCATACCTTGCTGTATTGAGCCCGATCCCGCTGGTAGCGCCGGTAACAATGCACGTCACTCCCGCCATGGCGGGCATCTCCGGCAGCGGTTGAAGATGGCAGCTCCACACGCGCTGCGTGATCGTGTCGAGAAAGACATGAATCAAGCCCCAAATCCAGTCCCCCCAGCTCAGGCGCCCAATATTTTTCTCCATGGGCGAGATGATAAACCCTAATTCCAAATTGCTCCAGCTGGGAATCGATCCCCAAATGTCTCAGATCTTTCAAAAATTGCTCCAAATGGGAATCGATCCCCAGATCTCTTAAAATCTTTCCTAGGCGGGAATCGTACCAGGGAACCCGCCAAGATATTTCGCAGGAAACTCGTGGCTGTGAAGGAGTTGGATACGTAACACTGTTCCAACTCACCCACGTCTATACGCACGCGTTCTACTAGATTTTCTACTATCTGTCAACCGGGGCTGCCCAAGGAATTCTTTACAAATCTTCCGCGGCAAGGGCACGCAAGCGAGCAATTCAATCGAACCCATCACTCTTTCTCTCTCGCGCAACCGACCCATCGATCAATCGTCCGCTCGTTCGCGTCCAATCGCCCAAATTTCTCCAATTCAATCGATCTAATCGAGAAAGAGGTATGTCGCCCATAGCAGCAGCCGTGGCGCAGGGCGTTGGAGTGGTAGCGGGGGCTCTGTTGGTGAAGAATCTGCTAGATGCGGAGGCAAAGAAGCCAATGGCGGGGGGATTTCCGCGCTGCCCGAGATGCAATGGGGCGGGAAGAACAGAGTGCTTGTGCACGCGATGGTCGGACAAGGATTATGGGTGCCGGAGTTGTGGGGGATCTGGAAGAATGCGGTGCAATAGCTGCGGTGGGAGTGGCACGGGAAGGCCAATTCCAGCGCAAGTCCGAGCAGGAAGAGGGCAGTGAGCACGTTAAGTCTGGGTGGTGTAGTTGGTCATCACGCTAGTCTCACACACTAGAGGTCCCCGGCTCGAACCCGGGCTCAGACACCAGTTGATTCTTTATACTGTAATTTATACTATTATCAAACAAATTTTAGATTTAGATATTTGTGGCTCGAACCATACTATTATCAAACAATTTAGATAAAGAAAAGCTAAATAGTATTAAGTCTGGGTGGTGTAGTTGGTCATCACGCTAGTCTCACACACTAGAGGTCCCCGGTTCGAACCCGGGCTCAGACAGGTTTAAGTTGGAATCTTTTTCCATTAACTCTAAGTATTAATTTGATTATAATTAAGTTAACTTTTAGATCATTATCACGTTAGTCTCACTGACGTTAGAACGGACCTTTATTATTCATTTGAGATAATCTTTGTTTGAGATTATTAGCCGCCGCCACCCGAGCCATACGTCGTGCCCAGGAAGATCATTTGCAGCTGGTCATAGCCCGAGAGCACTCCTGCGCCCGCCACGGCTCTCAAGATGTTGGCCCCGGCTCCCTTGAACAGCGACTTGACCCCCTCCTTGGCCAGAATCTCCCGCAGCGCATGCATGGAGCTCTTGTACTTGGCACCCTCGCCAGATCGCATCATCATCCGGCGTCTCACCGTGTCGATCGGGTACGAGGCCAATCCAGCCGCGATCGTGATGCTCCACCCCAGCATAAAGCTCGCCGCGAAGTTCCCCTGGAGAGTTGGAAGTGTGAGCACAAATACCGTACGTAAAGATCACAGAGTTGTCTAATACCGTACCTTGAGATCTCCCACCAGGACCACGGGCTTGAGCGAGTCGTACATCCCAAAGTAGAGGCCGCGGTAGACGACGATGCCAACGCAGGAGATGTTGAAGCCGCGGTAGAGCCCGGCGATGCCGTCGCTGGCCAGAGTTTTCCTGTAGACGTCGAGGAGGCCATTGAACTGGCGGCCGCCGCCGGCGCCGCCACCTTTCTTGGCGGCCTTGGCGTCGTTTGCCAGGCGCGTCCTCGCGTAGTCGAGGGAGTAGACGAAGAAGAGAGACGAGGCACCGGCGAGGCCGCCCGAGGCCAAGTTCCCGGCGAACCACACCCAGTAGCCATCGCGGTCGGCCTTGAAGTTAAACATCCTCTTGAAGTGATCCTTGAACGCGAAGTTTAGTGCCTGGAAGTGAGAAGCAAGAAGACGAAGACGTTAGGACACGCCCAAGTTCGTGATCTTCCAAGAACAGAACCCAAAAGAAGTTAAAGTAAACTTCCCCCGTGATCTCCGGAAGAACACGGGAAAGAAAACGATCCAAGAAAGATTGTACCTGGGTGGGGAAGTAGCGAATGACGTTTGCGAGATTGCCTCGCCAGAGCGCCATGGTTCCCTCGTCGCGCATCGTCCGGCCGAAGCAGTCGAGGATCCCTTTGTAAGGCTCCGAGAGGCGGCCCATCCGGATCATCTCGTCCTGGTTCTGGATGAGGAGCTTGACGCGCTCGATGGGGGCCGCGGCGGTCTTGGACACTGCTGCAGAGACGCCGCCCATGAGGAAATCAACGACGAATCCCGGCTTCTCTGCCGCGCCAGGGACAAAGATTGCCCGATTGTCGTGAATTCGAGTTCCATGCTGCTGCTGCTGGTGGCTATTTTGATGGAAATGCCGCTGCTGGCGATGATCTTCCTGGAGGATTTGTTGCTTGTAGCGAGCAAGAAGAAGAGAAGCCCCGGAGATCTTGTCCATTTGAGTGTGGAGAGAAGAGCGTTCTTGCGAGCGCTTCGCAAGAACAAGAAAGAAAGCCCGCCCTAGACTTTCAACGGTAAAACGAACTTTTTTACACGTATGCCCTAGAAAGTATTCTTTTGATATTTGTATTATCTGATTCTTCTATTGTATATATGCGTGTATATTTCTCTTCCAAAAGATTTTGGATGATCAAGCAGCCGCAACCATTGTCACTTTGGTTCTCAAATTTGGTTTCTTGTAGTAACTGTAAACTCCCGACGAAGAAGACTTGGGCTTGCTGTTCTTGCGCTCTTGCTTCTCGTCATTCGTGATCTGCTGGTCCCGGCAATCCAAGCTACAAAACGCTTGAATCCCCCTGAAAATTTGGAAGACTTTGAGTGTTCATGGTCTTTTTTTCCAAGGTTTGAGCTATGGGAGATTTACCTGTACATGTAGATATCTCTGCCGTAGACTATTTCTCTCTTGCACAGGCAGCAAAACCGGAGGAAGCTCGGCGCGGTCGAATTCGAAGATCCTGATTTGTCCTGGGGCCTGGCACGCTGCTGAGCTGCTCGAGCTATGGACGATCGCGTCAGGCGGACAGCGCTGGAGAGGTCCTCGTGTTTCTCCCCCAATGCAGCCACAAATCCCAATCCCACGGGCCTGGAGCTCGGATTTGCGCGTGGAGCTGGTCTTGGAGCGGAGCAGGGGACTGCTTCTGTGACGATCGATCTGGGATTCTGGTGATAGTGCTGCCGGCAATGGTGATTATAATCGAGAACGCTTTTGGGGCTCTCACATCCACTGCTCGCTCCCCCTAGAGAAGAAACGCTCACGGTTCTCTTCATCACTCGATCGATCCAAAAAACCCAAACTGGAATGGAAGAGAATAGAATCTAAAACCAAGAGATTTGAGCTCCCATCCTCGGGACTCAAAAGGTATCCTCTTTCGATTTCTCGATTTGAGCTTATCAGCTAGGACGTGAACTTCTCTCGCGAACCTATCAATCTAGAGCTGGAGAGGAAGATCCTGCTATACGCAAAGGCATGGAGAAAAAAAAAGGGCTATTGAATTATTGAGAGAGGGTGACTGGCCTTTAGAGTATCTTCTCCACTTGATATCAATCAAGCGCCAGGCCCACAAGTCACTCACAGACATATGGTCCCGCTACATTGGAATTCGTTTTATTCCTGCACGAATTTCCAAGCTTTAATTTTTTTTTACCTATGGTAGTCGCAAGCCGTACAGAAGCATGAGCCTATAAAACCTATAAAACATCTGGAAAAGTAAAACTAGCGTACATTCTCACGTTTTTCATTTTCTCTTTCTGGTTCTCTCGGTACGCGCACCTCATCGCTTTGTTTCGCAGCGCTGCCACCTTGAAAACGTGTAACGCGAGCATTGAGTCGAGCAGGAACAAGGACTATCGGCGACAGTGAGAGCCGAAAAATCTCGGAAGTGGAGGCATTAGGAACTCCAGGGTTATTTTAGAAGATCGCAGAGTCAAGGCCTTTCTCTTTGTGGTCCTGAGTTCGAATCCTATACTTTTAGTTGGGCGTCCGAGCTGGGAAACATTCGAATTGAGCGACGGCGGCAACTTTTATGTGATGGATGTGTGCTTTCTCAAGAACGCCTAGACTGCGACTTGGCAAGCAACAGGACCAAACCTGGAGAGAATCTTCGCCTAGAATGAGGGGATAATCACCGCAGGGAGACAACCGATCGAGCACAATGATCTGATCATCCTAAATGGAACACCACACACAGGCTATACATGCCGGACCAGTCAGGGAAGTAGCACAATGGACTGCCTCTTACTAGGAGCTTGGATGTAATAGAAACTTAGGCCTCTAGCTGCTTGCGGATCCAGCTGGGGGAGAAATAGAGAAGATCATGATTCATGCTGAGATTGGACCTGCAGCTTCAGGGCGATGGACTAGCAATCTGGGCAAGAGCCATAGGGAGGGGAGTAGCACTCTTCTTGCGTAGACTGCTATTTCTCCAGATCCTTTAGGCTAAAGAGGTCTCCAAGCCGAAATCTCTACAGCTGCAAGTGGCTGGATACATTTATCCTCCTTTGAAGAGTGTAGCAAGTGACTTATGGCGTGTTATTCATGAACTGGTGTGGTGTGAACCAAGGCCATACTGCACAATATTGCATCCTCCACATAGCAATATGTTATTGGGCCATGTAAACTTCTATGTAATATGTCAGTGGCAAATCTCTGCATGAGCTCTCCATCCCAGTTGCTAAGCCTAATGATGTTGCAAGCTTTGAGTCCCCACTATTGCTTTTGTTTCTTTGAGCTGCCTGGCAGTGCAAAGCCATGCCTTGTTCCAGTGCCATTCGTTTTATGAAACCTCCATTTATTTCCTCGGTTTCTTCTTTAGCAGCAAGATTTCAGCATGCCTTTGAGAGTAGTCACAAAACTTTGAAAATTTGTCATACAGCCTTTGGATTGCATGGCTTGAAGTAGTTCTAATGCTATTTCATATTATTTGTTTTTAAGTGAATTTCTCACATTCTTAATCATGTGTTGAAATTTTTAGCATTATAATGGTTTATTGCATAAAGTGTTTCACCAAAGAAACAACCCCAAGCACATAGCGATGGCAAATTTAACTTGAAGTGTCCAAAATGCACTAAAAAATTCAACTTTCCCCCTAGAAAGCATCACATGATGTGTCCAGAAAAAATAATATAGAGTTAAAATTTTGAGTGTATAAAATTGTATATGTGGCATTAACTTGGACTATAGAAAGCCCAGACCCCTGCAGCTGTGAGGCAACCTGAGGCCACCCCAAGCCCAAGCCAGGGTCGGTAGCCATGGCTTGCGGGAAAATCAACTCAATGTTATGGTGGCCGGTGGTATGCATGGAAGAGAAGAGGGCATGGTGACATGTTACATGATGCACTTCTAGGGTTCCATGGCTGCTCTGGGTGCATGAGCAGCACCACAGGTAGGGCTCATGAGGGACTGCTCCAGCAGCTGCACTATGTTCAAATTCTAGAGTTAACTGGTGCCATAGCAGCAAGTGTGGGTGATGCAAGGTATACAAGTGACCTGAAGGTGTGTGCACAACAAAGGCGTCAAGGGAGTTCTTTGAGCTGTTGAAGGAGGAGAAGCTCAAGGACTGCCAAGGAGTATGGCTTCAAAAGCAATGACTATGGAAGTAAAATCTCCAACACCACTAATGCTGTCCAGCTGTGGAGGCACTACTTTTTCCTGTGCATGTTTCCAAAGAAGAACTTGGATAACTAGCCTGTGCAGCCATTGCAATACAAGTAAGCTAGCTTCCAAGTTCTCCCATTTCTTTGTTTTTGAGACTCCATTATGACTTCCCTATTCTTGCACTTCTTCGTCTCTAAACCTTGTGATTGCTAACTTTCCAAAGAAGCAATGTCCTGTCTCTTTGATGGCTTCCTGACACTCATAAAGAAAATCTTAGGGTTCCTATCTGAAGGCATTAGTCTCCCTATAGACTACTTTGAGAAATGCTTTGGAGTTCCCAATGAATCCATCCTAATGAACTACTATCCTAGTTGTCCGGAGCCTGAGAAGGTACTTGGCATCAAGCCCCATTTCAACTTTGGAGGACTCACATTGCTCTTTTAGGATGGCATTCCTAGTCTCCAAGTTCTCCAGAACAACACCTCACTGGTTGTTAAGCCCATCCTAGGAGCAATCACCATCAACATCAGTGATCTCCTTGAGGTAAAGTTCTTCCTATTCTGCTCTATCCATCTCTGAACTTGTGTTTGCCATGAACAACCAGCTGATGAGCAACAGGAGGTATTGGAGTGTCATCCATTGTGGAAAGTGAAAGCATTGCATCCTAGGATGTCCATCACTTCCAACTACATCTGCCTGTTTGATTCGGCCATCGCCCCTGCTCTGGAACTCATAGACAAGGAGCACCCCCAGCTGTACAAGCCTGTCAAATGCAGAGACTATGTTCAGGAGGTGGTGAAGAGGGTCCAATTGAAAAGGCTTACATGTTTATCAACCACAACTCCAAGCTAGAATACATGCTCCTCCCAAAGCATTGACAAAAGCTACAATAGCTACCTCCTACTAATACATGCGAATTTGTGGTAGAGTTGAAAGGCTCAAAAACTTTTAGCATTTCCTTCTCTAGGGCTTTATTGCTTGGTAACCTGATGCTGGTATCACTATGATGATGGTGGCACTATGATGTTCTTTCAGCACAGCAGCGCTTGGGGCTGGAGCTCAAAATTCTAAAGCTGTGGATTATGGGGTAGAGATTGGTGAAGGCAACCTTGGAGCTATTTCATTGTTCTTGAGTGTGCTTTGCAAAATTCTAGACTTTCTTTCAGCCACGTAATTAGTTTTTCACTCTAATATTTTCCTTTCAGATCATTTCTATTCTATAAAAACTTCTATACAAACTCAATTATAAAAATTGTATATAAGCTTTAAATCTATAATCAAACTGACTGAAAATGCCTCGCCTCTGCCATCTTTTGAGAGCCATATGACATACTAGCCAATGTAATGGAGATTTAGATGCCTCTGAAACCATGATTGATCATGATACACATACTATAGCTGTTTATAATAATTATGATAATGATTATATACACCAAAATATTAATCATGTTAATGATTATGTTGGACCTTTAGAAGCATCTAGAACTTTACATGCATGTCATTATGAACATATATCAAGAAACATTAAATCAATAATTCCCACCAATGAATACCACATGAAAACTCTTCAATGTGTTGCCAAAATAACTAAGTTATTTTCACCTTTGCCATTTGATTTACTTTTACTTTTAAGAACTCTAATTTTAGAACAAATATTAGACACTACAATAGTGCCTTGCTTTTGCATCTAATCTTGATATTGTAAAAGGTCATGGTCCTTATTGTTTTAAAATTCAGTAAAATATATCATCATATTGTGTTAGCACATCCTTTTGAAGGTCAATATCAAACTTATGGACAACTTTATATGCTTGAAACTCTAGAAGTTACAAATATAAAAAGCAAAACAATTTCAATTTAAATTGTGAGACAAACTTGATTATAATTGTGACCCAATAGTTTACCCATTAATATTTCCTTTTGGTAACAAAGGATGGTATGAAAATATTTTTAATTCACGACATTGAATTACATTCCTCCAATATTATGCATACCATTTATCTATAAGAGACACATTACTGTTTGGTTTTGATCAAATTTTACATGCAGGCAAACTCACACAACAATATATAGCTGATGCTTGTGTAAAAGTTGAAAGCAATAATTTGAATTACTGTTGCACTCATAAGAAATAATTGCTAGTTGAAATGTATATTAGTCTTATGGATTATATTGCAAACTATGTTGCTATTGAAAATATAAATGCAGACATAATTGTTATTTTACCTTCAAGTTTTAGGAGCAGCCTTAAAGCGATACAACAAAATTATCAAAATGCAATACTCATTTTTCAAAGCTAGATTTTTTCATTACTTCTACATAGAATCCCAAATGGCTAGAAATTTTTAAAAACATACATACAAATAAAGGCCCTAAGGATTGTTTAGAATTGGTTTTTAGAGTAAATCATATCAAATTTAAAGAATTTTTAAATGAGATTACAAAAAAATATAAATTTGGAAAGTGTATTGCTTTTATATATGCAATTGAATTTCAAAAGAGAGGCCTCCCACATTATCACTTTCTAGGGATTCTATCTCATGAAAACATGATTAAAGTTTATGATGTTATCGACCAATACATAACAACACAATTATCTGATCTCAAGATGAATTTGAAAATTTGAAAACAATTATATTTCATATGATACATAATCCATATAAACCTCTTTACCCACATAGTCTTTACGTGGAAAATGCCACTTGCACAAAAGGCTATCCAAAAAAATTTAATCATGAAACTACTTTTAATGTTAATGGATATCTAGATTATTATAGACTTGATAATGGCCACACATTTGTAAAAATAGGTTCCATATTAATAATCAATGGTAGTGCTTTATAATAAATACCTTTGTAAAAAATATAATTCTCACATTAATATTAAAATTTATTCTACTATAAAAAGTATTAAA